CCAACGACACACACACAGAGAGAGGTGCTTGCTCAACCTGCAGCGTCCAAGCCGGCCATGATAACGCTGAGGCTGCGCCTCCCTTCGATGAGCAGCTTTCCCACCCTGAACTTGCTCAGCATCGACCGCACACCTTGTGTCGTGTGTCGTGTGTCGTGTGTCGTGTGTCGTGTGTCGTGTGTCGTGTGTCGTGTGTCGTGTGTCGTGTGTCGTGTGTCGTGTGTCGTGTGGGCGAGGTAACGAGAAAAGGAGGCGAGCAGATGCATCTGGTACCGGGTTGCGGCAGACACGCCCGCTCTGGGTACTTGCCAGCTTCTGCCGAGAGGGAGCATGACGACGTCAGGTTGGTGCGCACTCACAAGATAGAGCGCCAAACGCAGGCGCGTACGTACCGGCGCTGGCGCGCTTGCGAAGGACCGTGACCTCCTTGACCAGCGCCTTGCAGCTCTTGGTGATGGCCAGGCCCGCCTGCAGCTCGGCCTCCTCGCCACCACCGCCTTCCGCCGAGCCTCGTGCTATAAATATTTTTATACAGTTTATATATATAAATAAATAGAAACAAAATATTATCAAGAAATGGGACTGCTACCTTCGTTGTCGTGCGGGTCCTGCCTGACCAGGTCGAGGAGGATGGAGCTCCAGAGGGCGTCGTCGCAGGCGCAGTCGCGCCAGGTGGTGTTCACGCCCCCGGCCCAGCACAGCGACCTGCCACCACCACCCAAGACAAAGCCAAAGATTGGTTGCTGCTTGCCTCAAGGATGGAGGAGGAGGAGCGCAGGTAGCAAGAGTAAGGAGGAGGAGGGGGGCCGGGGCCGGGTACGGAGCGTCAGCGAAGCGGAGGATGTGGAGGACCAGCTCAGGGGGCAGCACGGCAAAGGCACCCCAAGCCTCTCGTGGCTCAGCTTTGGACGGAAGAACTTGTTCCCCATTACTCTTATATTCTATTATCTTACAACACCAAGGGCCGCCACCACTTGTGTTGAAGTTGCTACTGCGACGTTGGCAGTTCTGCTACGTCGGCATTTCTCTTTATTTTCATCTTCCCAGTCCTAATTTTCTTCTACATTTCTTTTAAGATTGCAGAGAACGTTTTCGTTTGAAACCAAACCGCAAGCGGACGAAGTCACTGCCGGGCGAGGGCAAAGATCTTCTGAAGGATCTCGTCGGCGCCCCGGGACTTGAGGTCCCGCGCCAGGGCGATGCCCACGGCCTCGGGGTCGCTGGCCGGACCCTCGAACCGGCCGTCCACGCACTGGTCGCCCTCGACGCTGAGCACGGCGCCCTGCAGGAAGATGGTTCCCTTCTCCGCGTCCAGCTTCGTGGCCACGCCCACCGGCACCTGGCACCCGCCCTCGAGCTCCCGCAGGAAGCTTCGCTCGGCCCGACAGCACAGCGCCGTCTCCTCGTGGTGCAGCCTACACGCACACAAGAATTGAGTGTGTGTCGTGTGTGCGTCGTGTGTGTGTGGCGTGTGTCGCGGTGATGCATAGCTGGGTGGCGTACTTGGAGAGGAGTGACAGGATGTAGGGATCCTCGGCCCGGCACTCGACACCGAGGGCGCCCTGGCCCACGGCATGAAGCGATTGCTCGGGCGTCAGCACCTCTGCGATCCTCTCACCCCACCCCAGCCTAGCACGAGAAAAAGAGAAGATATATCAGATTGTGGGTCTGTGGCGCATCACGCGATCGGGGGGGGGGTAGGCGTTACCTCTTCAGGCCGGCGTACGCGAGGATGAGGGCATCGTACTCGCCCGAGTCCAACTTGCGCAGTCGCGTGTTAAGGTTGCCTCGCACATCTGAGCGAAGATGAGAATGGTTGTTGCACGCGCACGCGCACGACCGCACACGCATCACGCACACGCGTGACACCGCACCACCGCACATGCACCACCGCACACGCACACGCACACGGCAGCGAGGGGCTAACCTTTGAAGACGAGGTGAGGATAGGCGCGGGTCAGCTGCGATCGCCGGCGAAGCGACGAGGTGCCCACGACGGCGCCTGATGGAAGGGTGGCCAGCGTGCTGCCGACGTGCTTGGGATTAACCACCACCGCGTCGTTCGGCGTCTCGCGCTGTCGTGTGTCGTGTCGGTGTGTCGTGTCGTTGGTCGTGTCGTGTGTAGTGAGTAGTGAAGAGAGGACAGCGAATAGTAAGGTGAAGATAAATGATACCTCGAGGATGGCGCCGACCATGAGGCCTTCGGGCAGACGAGTGGGCAGGTCCTTCAGAGAGTGGACAGCTATGTCGATGTGCCCGTGGAGCATGCCCAGCTCCAGCTCTTTCGTGAACAGGCCCTTGTCGCCTGCACTCACCAGTAAATAAAATAACAAAAAAATTTTTTAAAAATATAAAATGAACAAACAAATAGAAAGATGATGATGGTGGCGAGTGCATGTGAAGTACAAAATTATAATAAATAATAAAATGAATGAATGAATTAAAATATAAAACAAACGAACCAATCTTGGCCAGTGCGACGTCGAGGATCTTGTCGCCCATGGTCTTCATGGTCTCCAAGGTGAAGGTAACATCTGGGTGCGCTGCCTCAAGTTGGGCCTTCACGTAGTTGGTCTGTTGCGTCCATCCATTAATCTCCGGAGATGATGCACCGGCGCAAGGGCAGATGCAGGTTTGTACGAACCTGCACGAGGGCCAGCTGGCTGTCGCGCGAGCCGATGCACACTGACTTGCGTGGCTCCTGTTGCTGGCTGCTTCCCTCCATCTCGCTGACAAATAAATAAATAATTACAAATTCAAACGAAATAAACATAAAATGATAAATATACATAAAAACACTACAGCACCATGGAACTGGAGCTCACGCAGGAGGAGACGGACCTCTTCGGCCTCTTGATGGCCGTGGTGGCCGAGTCCGACTGCCGCACGGTCGTCAGGGTTGCCGGCGGCTGGGTACGCGACAAGGTGTCTATTCCCCCCCCCTCTTTTTTTTCTACTTCTCTTCTTCATCGAGGTGCCGAACAAACAACCCAACAGCTGTTGGGCATCAGGGACGGAGGCGGTGACATTGACCTGGTCGTGGACAACATGCCAGCTGTGGCCTTTGCCGACCTGCTCGCGCGCCACCGACCGTCGGGTGCGTGTTCTACACATTCCGTGCCCGCACCATTGATAGAGGGTTGGAGCTGACACCACCACCACCTCCTTCTTGGCGACGATGGCACAGAGACGAAGGGGGGGAAGGTGATCGGCAGCCGGCCCGAGCAGCACAAGCACGTGGAGGTGGTGGCGCTGAAGCTGCTCGACGGTGCGGCCGCGATCGAGCTCTCCTCGCACCACGGGCGCACGCCCGAGGAGGAGGCCCGCAGGCGCGACTTCACCATCAACAGCCTCCTATACAACATCAACCAGGCCGCTGTCGAGGACTTCACCGGCATGGTACACTGAGTCACACGCACCAAGACCTATCAGAGATGCTTACCTCACCACAGGGCGTGGCCGACCTGCGCGCGGGGCTGCTCCGAACGCCGCTGCCGCCCGGGGAGACGCTGGGGCAAGACCCGTTGCGCATACTCCGCTTCGCCGCCCGCTTCGGCTTCCGCGTCGACGCGCAACTGGCCGCGGCGATGAAGGACGCAGCGCTCCAGGTGCCGCCTTCCAGCTTGCCCTGCCTCTTGTTCAGCTCTGTTTGGTAACACTTTGGCTCCCCAATCGCGCCGACGACGATGATGTGATCGATCATGCACAGAAGGAACTGGGCTCCACCATTGGACGGCAGCGAATAGCCGCGGAGGTCACGAAGATGCTGTCTGGTGCGTCGTTCGTCGCAGGGTCTTCAGGCCTGATATGCGCAAACCTTGATTTGAGCCGTCTCGATCGAGAGTTAGAGAGCTAAGGCGGGCGTTACCGGTACACAGGACCACGACCCCATGTGACCTTGATGGCCCTGTGCCAGGACGACCTCCACCGCATCGTGTTTGCGCCATCGAAGGGTCCAGGTACCAGCAGCCCATTTGGATGGCTCCATCTCCAATCGTGTGATTGACAGCGACGATGCCAAAAGAGTTCTGGACGGACGAGTTGACCCGGTTGGCGAGACTTGCTGTCGAGCTGGTCATGATTGGCGGTCGAGAGGCGGGTCCTGAACCCGTTGTTGCGGGGCTGTCGCCGCTGGCGTTCTGGCTCGCGTGTCTCTTCCTGCCGCTGGGCTTCTCGCCTCTGTGCCTCAAGGACCGGGACCGGGAGACCCACTTGCCCTTCACCAAGTGGGACATGCGCGAGCACTGGATGGTGCGATCATCATCATCACCTATCTTCTTGTATTGGGCTGACGCCACCACAACCCATAGTTTCCTGATCAGGTGGCCACCAGCATCTGCACGCTGATTGTCCGCGCACACGATCTTGAAGGCCTCGCGCTCGAGCTGGACAGCACAGGCGCAATCGACAAGCTCCGTGTGGGTATGCACGCTCTCCCACTCGCACTCTTGAGTGCCTCCTGGGTTGATCTTGACAACACAACACGCAGCGCGAGTGCTACGGGAGCTGGGTCCGTCTTGGGTGCACGCGCTCCAGCTGGCGCGGGTCCTCTCCACCCTGCGGCTACACGTGGGCGACGGTAGCGGTGGCGGCAACACCGCTGGCGGAGGTGTCGACGCGCCGTTGGTTGATGCGGTCGTCACAGCGCGCTTTGGCCGGCTCGAGGAGTGGATCACCCATCAGAGCGGGTTGCTAGCGGGTCCGCACGGCCCGGCCGTATGGGCAGTCGCGCCGCTTGTGTCGGCCAAGACCCTGCTTGCGGCCCTGCGCGCACGGACTACCACCACCGGCGACATGCCGCAGCCGACGGGCAAGGATGTAGGCCGACTGGTGGCCCTGGCCCTCGACTGGCAGCTGGCGCGACACGACTCCAACAACAACAACAACAACGACGCTGATGAAGGTGCTGACGGCGCAACGACGACAAGCCTAAGCAGCAATCGAGAGCGAGAGTGTGTGGCCTGGGTGGTGGACCAGTGGCTGGCCCTGGCCAAGATCACCTTGCCGTGACTGCACAGAGCTGCAAAGTTTTATCTGGCCATGACTCATGAAAACGACCACTGCTTGTGCACCCCAACGCGGTGTCACTGCGCCTCCGGGGAGGCTGCCTCGCGTCATTCGGTAGTTCGTCACGTGGTGATCCTGACAGCTTGTCAGTCCCTGCGCTCCCCCGCTCACGGCTTGGGCGCCGTAAGAGCAAGAATCATCGCCAGATGGAAATTGAATCGTCTTCGCCCATCGGGGGCGGGGCGATGGACGTTCCGACGAGCCAATCCACCAAGTACTTTCGCGCCCTCTTTCTCGAGGGGGAGATGAGCCGCCTCATCAGGTACGTCTCCCCTCCCCTCAATCAACGGAAAAAGCGCACATAAGGAAAGATGTGCAACGAAGTCGTTGAGCACGGGAATTCAAAAAGATCGAAGATTGAAGACGATTTGCATTGCTTCGCTGAAGGAGGTGCTACTCAGCACAGCAAGAATGAGTGGAGTCATCACAACAAAGAATGCTAAATGCGTGGATGCGGACTCACGCGTATGACGCATCAGGGAAAAGGACTGGTCCCACACGCCGTTTGGCCCCATCGAGAACTGGCCCACATGCCTCAAGGTGGCCCTGGACATCGCCCTCCCCTCCCAGTTTCCCATCGTACGCCACCCAGTCTTGCTTCTTTGCCTCGCCCCGACTGTCCGCTCGCCGCTTCTACGGTTGCACTACTCACGTACCGCCGCACACGCACACACGCACACACGCACTAGGTGATATTCTGGGGTCCCGAGTACCGCATGCTCTACAACGACGCCTATCGACCCGTCTTTGGTCGCGACAAGCACCCCGGGTTCATCGGTACCTCTGTGCTATCTCCTTCTTCCAGGATTGGATGATGATGGTGGTGCTGGCTCTGTTATGGGTTCACGTGTCGCTGACTAGTCTCTGGTCTGCCTGACGCGCGGTGGCGCCAACAGGCGAATCCTACGGAGACTGCTGGCCGACGGTGTGGGACACGGAGAAGCGCAAGATGGACGATGTGCGCCTGTCGGCCAAGGCCAACTGGTACACCGACTCGTACACGCCCGTAGTCCGCAGCGGCTACCTCGAGGTAATGATGGCCCTCACGCCACATGACACTCAAGTAGACTCACGTGTCGAGTTCTCTCGGACACACGACACACACACACACACACACACACACACACACACACACACACACACACACACACACACACACACACACACACACACAACGCACGACACTACACAGGAAACCTACTTTACGTATTCGTACAGTCCGTTGTTTCTCGAAGACGGGTCGGTGGGCGGCATCTATGCGACCGTGAGCGAGACCACGAGCCGAGTCATCGGCGAGCGTCAGCTGCGGGTGCTTCGCGAGCTGTCCGCGCACGTGGTCGATGCCACAGGTCCCAAGGAAGCGCTCCAGAAGACTGCACATGTAGCCAGCACATCGGGCAAGTAAGTGAAACGCACACGACACACGCATCCCCGCATCACCGCACACGCGCACGACCGCACACGCAGGCACACGTCTGATTTCGTGTTCAGGTGGGATGTGCCGTTCGTTAATCTGTACCTGCTGGACCCGGAGTGCAAGCACGCCATTCTGTCGACCGCGACGGGCCTCGACAAACGCGGTGGATTCCTCTGTCCCGAGGTGGTGACCCTCAGCGGAGCCCAGGAGCAAACTCGGTACACGCATCACCCTCTCCAGTCATGTGCTGTGTGTGTGTGTGTGTGTGGTGCGTGTGCGGTCGTGCGTTCTCGATCTCTGTGCGCTCTGACTCGCGGTAATAGGACGAGTGATCAGGAAGACGGCAGCAGCTGCAGCTGCAGCGAGGAGGAAGCGGAGACCGAGATCGAGCAGGGCGGCTTCTTCTGCGAGCTGTTCCGTGAGGTGGCGCGCACCAAGTCCAGCCGGGAGTACGACTTGACGTCGTTCGGTGATGATGTGCCCATCTGTGCCGCGTGGGAGACCAGACCGAGGTACGTCCACACCTCACTCATTTATATTTATATATATTGTCTGTATTTATATTTATATTTATATTTATATTTATATTTATATTTATATATTGTGTATGTATGGTATGTATGGTCTCGCGTGGTGCTAGGATGTGTATGGTGATGCCGATGATGTCGCAGACCGCGGAGAAGGTGGTGGGCATCCTGGTGGCGGGGGTCAACCCGTGCCACGACCTCGATGAGAACTACAGGTACGTCCCAGGGTCTCCTCTACTCGCTCTGAGCCGACATCTCTCCGCGGAGATCTTCGCGCGGTCCCTTTTTCTTCTCAGCTTATGCCCCTACCCGCTACCAATCGCAGGATCTTCCTCAATCTGTTTTGCAACCAAGTGTCGGCGGCCCTCGCCAGTAGCATGGCACGCGAGGAGGAGCGCAAGCGAGCCGAGGTACCCTTGGGTTTGTTGCATTTTGTAATAAGAATAGTTGAATATTCTAATTCATATTGTTTTTATTGTTGATCGTACTATGATGCAACCCAACCAGGCGCTCGAGGAGCTGGACAAAGCCAAGACCGCGTTCTTTTCTAATATTTCGCATGAATTCCGAACCCCACTCACCCTCATGCTCGGTCCCATCGAAGTAAGTAACTCGCACACGACACACACACGACACACACACGACACACACGACACACATACCGCAAACTGGGCTAACCGCTACCCATGCATTCAGGATTTGTTGGGCCACGCCGAGTTGCAGATTGAACGAGAGCAGCTGACGCTGATACACCGCAATGCGCTCAGGCTCTACAAGCTGGTCAACTCGCTGCTCGACTTCTCGCGCATCGAGGCCGGCCGCGCGCGGGCGCAGTTTGAAGCGGTCGACCTGGCCTCCCTCACCGCCGATCTCACTTCCATTTTTCGCTCCGCCACTGAACGGTTCGCATTCGCATTCCACCTCGTGTGTGTGTGTGACTAACAGTGTGATCGCTGTATCGCGTGAAGGTCGGGTCTGGAGCTGCGTACGGACATACAGACTCTGGAGCAGCAGGTGCTGGTGGACAAGGAGATGTGGGAAAAGATCGTGCTCAACCTCATCTCCAACGCCCTCAAGTTCACCATGCACGGCCACATCGCGGTCACCCTCTCGACTCCCGCCTCCAACCGTACGGTTAACACGCCCCCACTCAGCTCTGGCCAAACCTCGGCGCTGACGATGTGTGTCGTGTGTCGGCATCAATAGCCAACTGCGCCGAGTTGATCGTGTCTGACACGGGCATCGGCATTCCCGAAGAGGAGATGGTCCACCTCGGCCGCCGCTTCCACCGGGTGCAGACCCCCGGCGGCCGCTCCTACGAGGGCACCGGCATCGGTACTCGCTTGCTCTCTTTCCGTTGAGCCGCATGCGCGTGCGCAACACACACGACACACACAAGGCCGCGGCCCGGCTCACCCTGAATGATATGACGGCAATTCAGGGCTGGCTCTGGTGTACGAGCTGGTGCGGCTGCACGGCGGCCAGGTGGAGGCGTCGAGCCAGCTGGGCAAGGGCACCTCGTTCCGCGTCTCAATCCCGTTCGGCGTGAGCCACCTGCCGAGCGACCAAATCAAACACATCGCGCGATTCGCGCCCGTGGCCCACTCGAGCTCGAGCTCGAGCTCAAGCCCGCGTGGAATCATCAACCCATCGGCCTTCTCTTCGTCTTCTTCGTCTTCATCGTCAACTTCTTCTTCACTTCCTTCGTCTCCGCGCTTTCAACCAGCTTCATCTTCGCCATCGCCATCAACGTCGACAGCTTCGTCATCGACGTCGTCTTCGATGGCGAGCAGTCCGGAGAGTGAACAGCAACACCACCCGGCGACCGGGGCCAAGGACTACGCCAAGATGGCGTCGTGGTGGCTGCCCTCGATCGCCGCCGTATCATCGCCCACGTCGGTCAGCCTCTCCACGTCGTCGTCGCCTTCGAGCCCTTCGTCGTCGCCCACGGCGCTCTTCTCATCGTCGCCGACCTCGAGCTTGTCGCCCGAGACGCCCTCGTCCCCTCGCTCCCGCACCGCCGCGTCGTCCTTTTGCGTACTCGTTGACGAAAGGCCCAAGAAAAAGAGTCCCAAGGTACCCAACCGCACACCACCGCACACACATGGTCGCACATATACGGCCGCACACGCAACACACACACACACACACACACGACACACGCACCACCGCACACAGTCGCACGTTGTCAACGGTGGTACTGACCAAGGTATCGCCTAATGTGTTGTGTATCAGCGCTTGTCCAAACCGAAGGTGCTGTTGGCCGACGACAACTTTGACATGCGCGAGTACGTCGCGCGGCTGCTCGCCCCCAAGTACGAAGTCATCAGCGTGTCCAACGGTTCGTCATTCGTGCCCCCCTTTAAACCAACACCCCCGCTCCCATTCCTGACGCGTCGGCGCACTAATGCGCACCGCCGCCGCCACCACCCAGGATTGGAAGCGCTGAGCGTGCTACGGGCGCACTCGCAGGCTGTCGATCTCGTCCTGACCGACGTCATGATGCCCTTCCTTGACGGGTTCGGCCTGCTCAAGGAAATCAGGTATTACGACCGCACACGCATGGCCGCACACGCACCGCACACGACACTCACGCGCGCGTTGATCGTACCCGAATAGGGCCAAGGACCAGACGCGTACGCTGCCGGTGATCATGCTATCGGCGCGCGCCGGAGAGGAGGCGAGCGTGGAGGGGCTGGACGAGGGTGCCGATGACTACCTCACTAAGCCCTTCACCGCCCGCGAGCTCCTTTCCCGCGTGGCCTCCCACCTCAAGATGTCCCGCCTGCGCCTCGAAGCCGCCAAAATCGAACAGGAGCTCCGCATGCAGGTTGGTTTCTTCGTCTTTCGTTCTTAGTTGTGCGATGGTAACACACACACACGCACCACCGCACACACACACACACACACACACCACACAATAGGTCAATGAGGGAAAAGAGAGGTTGGAGCGCATCCTGGCGTCGATTCAGGACGCATTCATTTCGCTCGACTCGCGGCTTCGTTACACATTCGTGAACAACAACGCAGCCGTGCTCCTGGGCGCTAAGAAAGAAGGTGAGCACTGCTGACTGCTGGGTGATGTCATCACAGTGACCTCTGCTGACGCGTGTGTGTGTATGTGTGTTCTCGACGCAGCGATGATCGGCCAGAGCGTGTGGCGATTTATGGTCGACAATGAAGAGGGCGTCGTGCGACGAAACCTGGAAAGGGCCATGACCGACCAGATCGACGTCGATTTCGAGTATTACTACCCCGCGCTCGACCGATGGTACGTCCCACCCTCGCACCGCGGTGTTCCCTCACCTCTGACACACCACCGCACACTACCACCGCACGCACACAACAACGATCGCTCGCACAGGTTTGAGAGCAGGATCTATCCGGGCGCGGACGGCGGCGTCACGATCTACTCAGTGGACATCACCGCGCGCAAGAAATCCGAAGAGCGCCTCAGCCTGCTGGCCAAGGTGAGTCCACCCGCCACCCGCCTCTGTGGGGGACCACACACACGAAAATGAATAACACGCACGTACAGGTGGGTGAAATACTGTCCGCCAGTATCGACAGCCGCCTGCTCTCGGTGCTCACGACCACGGTGCAACACATCGGAGGTAATTATTCATATAACTCCTATTACACTCTCGCTTAGCGGTGGCTCACTCAAGTACGCGGCGCGACTACATCAGAGTCGGTGGTGGCCGACTGGTGCATCTTGGACGTCGTAGACGAGAACGGGACCCTGCAGCGAATCGCCTCCAGCCGCGCGTCGCCCCATCTCTGGGAACTGCACAAGCTGCAGCCCAACGGCAAGAGTGCGACCCACTCCTCAATCCCCATCACCAACGTCACCAATAATCTTACGGCAGTGTGTGTCGTGCTTCGTGTGCGGTGTTGTGTGTGCCGTGAGCAGCGACGAAGAAGTGTTATCTGGAGATGGAGCTGTGCAACGGGGAGCAGGTGGGTCTGGCCAGCAGCCTGCGGGCCGACCTGGACTTCGTGACCTACCTCATGAAGGGCCACGGCAAGACCTTCGGCTCGTGGCTCTTTGCCCGCCGCGCCTACCCACCCCGCTCCTATCAGGCAACGACTTCCCCCCCCCGAGCTCACCCTCAATCGCCTCCACCCACCAAACTTACGATCGTGTGCGTGTGCCATGTGTGCGGAATGTGTGCGTGCGGTGTGTGCGGTGTTGTGTGTGTGCGGGGTGCGCAGCACGAGGATAAGGCGGTGTGTGCGGAGTTGGCGCGACGAGCGGCGATGGCGATCGACAACATGTTCCTGTACAGGGCGGCCGAGAAGGCAAATCAGGCCAAGGACCACTTCCTCGCCGCCCTCTCCCACGAACTGCGCACGCCCCTCACCCCGGCCCTCCTTCTCTCCGAGTCCCTTCTCGGTACGCGCGACACGACACGACACGACATACAACACCCCACACACACGCAACACCGCACACACGCAATTCTCATTATTTGCTAATTTTTTTACTATTAATATTAATTAAATAATTGAGCGCAGGCGAACAACTGCCGCCGAACGTGGAGGAGAGCGTGAGGATGATCCGCGAGTCGGTGGAGCTCGAGGTGCAGCTGATCGACGATCTGCTCGACCTCACCAAGATCGCTCGGTACGCTCGGGCTCGTGCGTCGTGCCGTTCGTCGCCTTGTTTGCTGCTTCTCAACACCACACGCACGACACACAGCAATAAGCTGAAGCTGGCGTTTGCCGAGGTGTCGGTCCATGCCCTGCTCACGCGCACCCTGCAAATCGTGGCGCACGACGCCGCGGTCAAGAGCATCGCCGTGACGCTCGACACCAGCGCCATCAACGACAGGGTCGACGGCGATCCCGCCAGGTCCTGTCCCCCCTCACACCCCAGTTACCACCATTGGCCAAACAAACAACTCACATTTTGCGTGTGCGATGTGCGGCGCGTGCCACGTCATCACAGACTCCAGCAGGTGTTTTGGAACATTATTAAGGTAACGCCAAACTATTTATTAATAATAATCATTGTTATCTGTTATTAATTGTTCATTTTTAATTGCTCATTTTTATTTTATCTAAAAACAGAATGCGATCAAGTTCACGCCGGCGGGTGGGTCGATATGCATTCGGTCGTCCAATTACGTTCAGCCGAACGACGAGCACGGCGCCGGCGCCGAGCAGAATAACTCCGAACCGTCGAGCCCGCACCACGAGGAGGAGGACCACGAGCAGCTGCGCCAGCAGTACCACCAGCACCACCAGCACTACGGCGGCGGCGGCGCGTCGAGCGAATCGCCCGACCCGCAGCAGCAGCCCAAGGTGCTGGCGGCCGAGAAGCGGGCCAGGGTGATGCTGCGGGTGGACGTCATCGACACGGGCATCGGCATCGAGAGCCACGTCCTGCCGCACCTCTTCCGCGCCTTCGAGCAGGGCGACGCCTCCATCACCCTACGCTTCGGCGGCCTCGGGCTCGGCCTTGCCATCTCGCGGTACCCGCCACACGACACGACACGACACGACACGACACGACACGACACGACACATAATTTATTGACGCTTCTTGCAATGCGCAGGTCATTGGTGGAGATGCACCACGGCCTGCTGGGGGCACGCAGCGAGGGCCTCTCGCACGGATCCACCTTCAGCGTCTGCCTGCCCACCGTACGCTCTCTGGGCGTCGTCGCCACTCCATTCCAACAGCCCACCGACTCACTGTGTGCGTGTGCGGTGGTGTGCGTGTGCGGTGGTGTGCGTGTGCGTGTCGTGCGTCGTGTGTGTGTCGACAGTTGGAGCACAAGGCGCCGACGGCGGAGCTTCCTGCGCGACTGCCGGAGACGTCCGACACTGCGAGTGCGACGCCCAAGGGGCCGACGGCGTCAGCGCCATTGCCGTCTTCGCCGGCGACGAGGTTCCCTGGGGTGGTATCGTCGCTGACCAAGCCGCTCAAGGTGCTGCTCGTCGAGGACAACAAGAGCACCCTCATGATCATGTCCCGCCTCCTCCGCCAAAAGCTCGGCTTCGACGTCCTCGTCGCCGTCTCCGTCGCCGACGCCCTCCAGGTAAGTCGACTGTGCGTGCGGTGGTGTGTGCGTGTGGTGGTGTGTGCGAGTGCGTGTGCGATGTCTCACGACTGTGTTGTTTGAAGGTCGCGGAGAAGGAGAAGGGCGCGTTTGATCTGGTGATCAGCGACATTGGCCTGCCCGACGGTACCGGCACGCAGCTCATGCACACCCTCCGGGACCGCTACAACCTACGCGTACGTCGCTCCCCCGCGTTTCGTTCTTTTGTTTTTTGTTTTTTTTAACCTTCGCGTTTCGTTCTTTCGCCGCCGCCGCTGCTCCCCCCCCCTCGCGCAGGGCATCGCGCTGTCGGCTACGGCATGGAGGAGGACCTGAGGCGGAGCAAGGAGGCCGGCTTCCAGCTGCACCTCACCAAGCCCGTACACTTCTCGTCCCTCACCGAAGCCATCCAGACCCTCATTGCCTCTTCCACCTCCGCTCCCGCCTCTGCCTCCACCACCCCTTCCGCTTCATCCACACCCGACTACTCGTCTTCTTCATCATCATCATCATCCACCACCGCGACCAACGCTTGCACAGAGCTGACATCATCTTGCTCCTCGTCACTCTCATTCTCGCGAGACATCACGTCACCACCACCATCCACCTCGACCGCGTTCGCTCCACCACACCCGCCCTCGCTCCTCACCGCTTCTCTCCTCCAATCTGTGACACCCAACACCATGGGCGGAACAGCCTTTGCTTCTTCGTCATCATCGTCATCGTCATCATCGTCGTCATCACCTTCTGCCTCACGAAGTTGATGAGGACACGACATAGATCAAATATAATATATCAAATCATATCGTATTGTACATGTTTCTTCTCTCTTCTCTCCGACATCTCACACTGAGTACATCTCATTGTGAACTCGGCCTGGCTCTCGGTGAAGAGACCGTTAGTCTGGGCCGCCTGGTCCACGAACATGCTGCTGCCAGTGGGCAGCGCCCCGGCGGCGTCGGCCACGCGGTTCATGTGGCGGTAGACCACGTAGGCGGCACCCACGGCAGCGGCGCCCACGCCCACAGCCGCCACAGCTCCGGCGACGGCCCCGACCGCCACCCCCGCAGTCTCGCCCGAGGTCAGGCCGCTGTCGGGCGCCCGGCTGGGCGAAGGGGTCACCGTGGCACTGGGCGAGGGGCTGGGCGTGGTCGACGGCGTGTTGGAGGGGCTCGGCGAGCTCGACGGCGACGGCGTGACCGACGGGCTCGGCGTTGTGGAGGGGGTGGGGGTGGTCGACGGGCCAGGCGTGACTGAGGGGGTGGGGGTGACCGACGGCGTCGGGCTCCTGGAGGGGGTGGGCGTGGTCGACGGGGTGGCCGAGGGGCTGGTGCTGGGCGTCGGGGTGGTGGTTGGAGAGGGCGACGGGCAGTCGGTAGGAACCTGCACCAATGGCAAAAAGAGCAAAGTTAAAATTGGCCAATCGAATGACTAGCAGGGAGGGGAACGTACGCCATTGGTGCAGCAGGTGGCGTTGGTGATGTACTTCTGGTTGTCGACGCACACGCAGTACTGGCAGGCGCCCGCCGTGCAGGTCTCGCCCGTCGGGCAGAAGTCGAACCCACACGACGCCGGGCGATTGGCCGGGGTCAGCAGCGCGTTAAAGTACATGCGCCTGCCATTGGCCAGAGCGGCCGAGCCCGAGGTCCACTCGTGTCCGCCCATGTAGAAGATCAGGCCGCCCGACAGGTCGGTAGTGAGCTTGGTGGCCGCCGAGATGGTCAGGTTCAAGCCGTTGTAGGTGGCCTTGGCCGGGTTGTTCACGACGTGTGCGTAGGCGTTGTCCCTCCATGTTCTGTCCCGTAGCTGGGCGGTGAGAAAAGCGAAGAAAGAACAAAGAACGAAGAAGAGTGGGAGTGTAGGGTACCCAGAGGAGAGCAGGTAGAAGTCGGTGATGACGCCGTCGTTGGAGCCGTCGATGTCGCCCAGGAACTGGGAGAAGGGCAGGTCGGGCTGCGGGTAGAGCAGATCGAGGTTGAAGGTGCCGGACTGCTGGATGCTGTTGGTCGTCATGAACCCGCCGCTCGTGGCCTCATAGCTCCTCGTGGCTAATGTGATGATGGATGTCAACAATTTCTGATGGTGATGAAGGTGGGGGGGGGCGACGTACAGGCGCACTGGGCGTAGAAGTTGCCACCGCTCTGCACGTAGCTCTGGACGGCGCTGAAGTAGACCGGAGCGTTGGTGCTGGTGTAGATGTAGTGCGGTTCGACAAAGGTCGAGTAGCAGGTCGTCGCGTTGAGCGAAGAGATGACAGACGACGCCTCCGACGCCGCGGCCAGGGTGTAGTGGGTGCCCGCCTTGAGGCCTTCGATGATGACGTCAGCACCAGATGTGAGCCAAAGCAGTATTGGGGTAGAGGGGGGTGGGTATACCGGCGGCCTGGAGGGGGTTGACAATGGTGGAGCCGTAGCCGGAGAGGTCGGAGAGGAGCACCTTGGGCCGTGAGAGCAGGGTGTGGCGCACGTCGATGGTGGAGTTGGCGTCGAGCACGTAGAGCGCGACGTCGGTGTAACTGTTGTTCGAGATGACGCTCAGGGCCGTTTGGGCGTAGCTCTTGTGGATCACGAGCGGCCCGGCCGAGAACGACTCCGTGTTGGTAGCCAACGACGAGGAGTTCGTAACATAGTACTATATATTGATCGGTGGTGGGAATATTAGAATGTTGTCATAACATCTGGAGATGACAAGGATTTAGTTTAAGTACCCTGTGGGCGGGAGCGGTGAAGTCAACTCCGTCCTTGGCCTTGCCCGTGGCGATAGTCCAGTAGATAGGTACGTTGGCATAGAGCAAGTAGAAGGCCAGACCTATCAGACGGTGTCGGAGTTAAAAACAGATGCCCAATTAAACACCCTTCACGACTGCACTAGATCTGTACCGTAGGCCCGGACGTTGAAGATGCCGCCCGAGTACTGCTTCAGGTCCATCGGGATGACGAGCGAGCCCGACGGTACGGTCTTGAGATTAGCCGTCGGGTTGGGCAGATCGGCGTAGCCCGACAGGGTCGCGGAGCGGGCCATCGAGACCATCGCGGCCACGACGACGACCAGCAGCAGGAGAACGAAACGGTTGGAGCTGGCGGTGTGGTGCATGACGGCCCCAGGTGATGTGGCTTGTGCGTTGCGGGCGGAGAGCTGAGGTGTGAATGGCGTCGGGCTGTGCATTGAGGACTTTGTGCGGGCGCGGGGGGGCTGGGAGGGGTATCCAAGGAGGGCGATGGGCCAGAGATGTAAAATAAATTTGAAAGTACGCCAATCGGCTTTGTCGGCGTTGCCGCGCACACTGTGGGGGACCTGGGACACTAACCGTTGTCTTGCTGGCCCATAGGACACGCAGCTGATTGGTCAAGTTTTTATGCCGGTTTTGATAATCGCCAAGGATTTCACTTCGGCCATTTTCCACACTAAACAGGTGTTTCAAATCTGTTAGTAGTCCCCATCTTGTGTGCGATGAAGCCACTTCTCCATCTGCTGCATGCAGCATAACTCTCAGTTTTTTTTCTCTTTTGGCGCTAAAGAGTTAGGGTTCGTCTTCCTGGTGGCGGGTCTGTGCCTTGGGGCTTTAGCGATAAAGACGCAACAGTTGGGGGGCTGGACTTGAACAGACAACGCAGCAAACACCGGTCCGACCTTCTTCCCTTCGTGCAGGTGGAGAGGAAAGTACGCTCCGAGGCAAGAACAAGCTGAACGTTAGGGAAGCTGGCCCAAGGGGCACTGTGCGCGCTTTGGGCGGATTGTCACGTGATACAGCTGGGGTCAATGGCAAAAAGGAGAGGCAGAAGAGAGAAGGTTCCCACAGTGAAGCCCGCAGTACAACATCAGAAAAGCTTATAAGATGACGCGCTCACATGCGCTTTGGAGTGTTCTCGTTCTCTTGGCCCTCATTGCCGCCACTGCCTGCTGCGCCCGCCTCCCTCTGCCTCGTACCTTTTCTTTCTTCGCTTTTCGTTTGCTTCACTGCCCCCCCCCCAATTTGTGTTCACGCCACGCCAGGCCCTGGTGGAGACAACAAGGTGCCTGTGGTCGTCTTCAACATCACCGTCGAGTAAGTTCCAGCCAAGCCCAAGGACGCTGCAGCTGGCCTACTGAAAACACATTTGTGTCGTGTGCGTGTCGTGTCGTGTCGTGGCACGTGTGTGGCCAGTGAGACTCTCTGGCGCCCGTGCGTTGCCTGGGGCCTGACGCCCTCGCTCACGCCCAACACGACCACCCAGCAGAGCGTGCCCATCAAGAACTGCGACGAAGGTCGCTTTGTCTACGCCTACGGTACTCTACCATTTCCATTTTAATTTTAATTTTAATTGTTAAATATTAGGATATGATTTATTAATTAACAAAAATGGATATAGACGACAATTTCAACCATCCGGTGCTGAAGCCGACGTTCTACTCGTCGGTCATCGTGGACGCCTCGCCGCCCACCTGCGTCATCGCCTGCAAGCCCGTCGACAACCAACCCATGCCCTACCGCTGCAGCCAGTGCTCCGTCATGTACGCGCTGCGCACTTTGACACCATGCACTCCCTTGGCCACATCATGTGCTCACATCGTTAGCTTATCTCACGTGTGCCAGGGACTCACGCGAGGGCTACCACCTCACGACCTACACGTTCGACGTGGTGGGGTGGGAGTGGCGCGAGTGAATTATAAACCGTTCTTTTGACTTTTTTTTACAACAAACAGTCTGTACATGGAATGACAAAATGGGAGAGAGAGAGAGACGGACTAGACGCTGATGACGTCGACCACGGCGTCGACGGTGTTGCTGCTGTTGTTGCCGAGGAGCCCGTCGAGCGTGGCGACGACGTCGCTCATGGCCGGTCGCTTGTCGGCGTTGGCGTGCCAGCACTTCTTCATGAGCTTCCGCACGGCGGCGGGGCAGTCGGCCGGGATCTGCGGGCGGCGGCCCTCCAGGACCTCGAGCGTGACGCCCATAAAGTTGCGGCCGGCGAAGGGCACCTTGCGCGTGAGCACCTCCCACACGATGATGCCGAACGAGTACACGTCGGCCTTCTCCGAGTACCGCTCGCCCCGTATCACCTCCGGCGCTGCACACAATCGGAGTTAAAAACAAATAATTTTATAATCGGAAAAGAACGAAGACAAAAGAATGAAAGAACAAAAGAACGAAAGCGACAGTGATGAGTGCGTACCGGTCCAGCAGGGGGTGCCGCAGCGAGTCATGGTCGCGTTGTCCTCCTTGATGCGCGCGAAGCCAAAGTCGGCCACCTTCACGTTCCAGTTCTCGTCAACGAGGAGGTTGGAGGGCTTGACGTCGCGGTGGATGATGTCGCGCGAGTGCAGGTAGGCCAGGCCCACGGCGGCCGACCGCAGCACCCGCAGGCGGCGCTCCCAGGGCAGCCGCACCGCGCTGTCGGCCAGGATCTCCTTGAGCGCACCCTGCTGCACGAATTCCGTAACGATGCACAGGTTGGGCCGCTTCACGCACGCCCCTGTGATCGCACGGACCGTCAGCGCACGACACACGCGACACACATGGCACACGACGCATAGCACACACAGCGTACCGATGAAGAGAACGATGTTGGGGTGGTGGAGCTCGGAGAGGAAGGCCATCTCGGCGCGGAACTCGAGCAGGCGCCGCTCGTCGAGCTGCTGCTTGATGAACCGCTTCACCGCCACGTCCACGCCCTTCCACTTCCCGCGGTACACCATCCCGTACGACCCCATGCCCACCTGACCATCACCATCATTGCCATCAGTACACCAAACGACTCGACCAACGACACTCATGACACACGCGCACACTGCACGACACGACACACAGCACGACACACGCGTGTACCTGTTTGCCCATGCTGATTTCGTTGAAGTCGATGATCCATCGACAGAGGTTGGCGGAGGTGAGGAAGTTGTCCTCCTTGAAGGCCATGCCCTCGCCCATGTCGCCGCGGGGCGAGGCCAGAGGCGCGCCGTGGCTCAGGTCGCGGCCGTGCGAGGACGAGCCCGACCCGGCGCTGTCGCCCGTCGCATTGTCCGCGTCGTTGAGGTCGTAGGCCGCATCGCCGAAGAATCGCGCCTCGAGCCCTCGCACCTTCACCTCATACAGCTGGGAACCTACACAAACACGACACACACCGCACACGACCGCACGACACGACACGCGCGTAAGCCAGCGTGCCGTTGGTTGTGTATGGGATGAGGATGAGGATGGCGTACCGCGCGGGTTGTCGGCCATCTCAAAGTTGCCCAGGTTTACGAATCGGTTGGGCTCATCGGCCAACGTGGTGCCCTTTAGCTTCGCCATCGCCTCCCGCGAGATCACCACCTAGCCGGGTTGGCCACCATCAGTTAGTCGAAGCAATTGCAGACGCACACGCACACGCACCACCGCACACGCACACACGAACACGCGAGGTTCTACGCACCTGTCCGCCGTTGGTGATGGCGGTGATGCGGGCGGCGGCGTTGACCACCGGGCCGATGTACTCCACGCGCCTCGTCTTCGGGTCGCGAATCAACGGGGGCAGCCCACATGGGCTCCCATCCGCACCCGCAGCCCTCGGAACACCACTCTGACCACACGCCGCACGTACATTAGCCCTCCCGCAATCATGCGCGCGTGTGGTGATGCGTGCGGTGACGCGTGCGGGGCGGCACCGTTCGTTGATCTCGTCCCACTCCTCCGCGGCGCCGGGGTGGTCGATGAGCTCCTTGGGCCAATCGGCGCTCACCAGGGCCAGCTGGACGTCCATGCACCACTCCACCGCGTCCGCCGTGCTCCCGAAGGCCATACAAAACGAGCCCTCGCCACTGATCCGATCCCTGCATTCAAGATGGCGGGCCGCCAGACGATGTGTGAGTTAAGGTGGCGTAGAGAGGACCCAAATTAAGGTGGCGGATGACGCACCGGAGGAAGATCACTTCGTAGCCGCGGTGCTTTTTGAGGAGGTCGCGCAGCAGGGCGTTGTGGAGGATGGTGGCGTCGCGCATGGCGTCGGCGTTGAACTCCCACAGCGAGGCGGCGCGCGTGATGTCCGAGAACACGATCGTCACCTCGCCCTCGGGCGCCCGCACCCCGCTCGTCGGCGTCGTGGGCAGCCCGCCCGAGCCCTTCAGATCGTTCATCCCTAAATTTTGAGATTTTAAATTTCAATTTCAAAAAGCAAAACAAAACAAAAGGGGGAGGTCGTGGGTACCGCTGGAGCCGGCGCTGCTGGACGAGGCGGTGGTGGTGTGGTGGCTGGTGGAGCTGTGCGAGCCGCCCAGGCGATCGGAGAAGCTCTGGCTCGACGAGCTCGTCGTGCCCGAGGTCAGCCAGTTTTCGCCCATCGCGCTCAATCGCGTCATCGCCTCCTGCGCGCACAGGAAGACCATTAAGTACAATACGCACAACACACGACACGCCCCAACATGACACACGACACGCACGGCGGGAGGGCGTACGAGGAAGGAGGGCCGGATGGAGGGGTCGGGGTGCCAGGCGTTCTGCATCAACTCCTTGTACTCGGCTGGCGTGGGTTCGAGCAGGTCCTTTTCGTCGGGCATCGGCGGCCGCGCCCGGTCCCTGATCACCGTCACCGCTACCGCAGCAGGCCTGTACGCAGATACTTTGAGCCACACACAGCACATGCACGACACACACGACACACACGACACACACGACACACACGACACACACGACACACACGACACACACGACACACACGACACACACGACACACACGACACACACGACACACACGACACACACGACACACACGACCGTACGTCATGCCGTAATAGGGCTGCTGCCGGGTGAGGAGCTCCCACAGGATGATGCCGAACGAGTACACGTCGGCCAGCATGTAATCGATGTCCATCGACTCGTTGAGCACCTCGGGCGCCATCCAGTGAATGCTGCCCTGTGCCACCCGATTGTCGCCGCGCGCCAGCTGCTCCTTCGACTGGGTCAACCCAAAGTCACTCACCTACGCGCGCGCGCTGTGTGCGTGTGTGCGTGTGCGGTCGTGCGTCAGCGAAGAAGAAGGCAACGAGTGTGACCGATGATGGAAAGCACCTTGACATTCCACTTGTTGTCGAGGAGGAGGTTGAGCGACTTGAGGTCGCGGTGCACGATGCCCGACGAGTGGAGGAAGTGCATGCCCTTGGCCGCCTGGTAGGCGATCTTGACCCGCAGACTGAACGGAATGTCCGACACCAGCTCGTTGTGCAGTAACTGTGTGCAGCAGCAGCAGCAGCGAATCAGGAATTGGTCAAGTTAAGCTGTGGCAGACAGCAGCCATTGTGGGGAAGCGAGGGGCGTACATCGAAGAGGGAGCCGAGGGTCATGAGCTCCATGACGATGCACATCTTGGGTGGCCTCGTGCACGCGGCCATGAACAGCACCACGTTGGGGTGCCGCAGCGACGTCATGACCTTGACCTGCAACGATTCCCCCGATCGCCAACAACAAGCAGTGTTAAGTGGGAGAAATGGAGAGGTGAGAACAGGAAGTAGTAGTTGTTGTTGCGTACCTCCTCCTTGAAGCTCCGCTCCAGCTCCTTGGTCGCGGCGGACGAGGTGGTGGTGAGCAGCATCTTCACCGCCACCTCGGTTCCTTTCCACATGGCCTTGTGCACCGTGCCATATCTGGATGAATGAGAAATGGTGGAATGTGAGCAAAATGGTGTGAGAAATGCCAAGAATGTGAAAGAAGATGCGATACCCGCCGGTGCCCAGCTCTTCGCCCATCTCGAGCTCGTCGACGTCGACCTCCCATTCGTCCTCCTTCTCGCGCCGCGAGCGGGTCCAGACCACGAGTCCGACCACGACCACGATCAGGCACAGCACGATGGCGGCCGGTATGAGCGAGCCGAGCAGAGCGGCCAGCAGCACGGTGGTGTCGCTGCCCGAGTCAGACTTGAGCGACTCGCAGTAGGTGCCGGTGAACCCGGCGTCGCATTGGCACACGCCGCTGATGTCGCACACGCCGCGGTCGGAGCACACCGCGCCGCCGCTCACGCACGCCGCGAACGAGCTCACCGTCGCGTTGTCGCACGTGGTGCTGGTCAGCAGCTGCGCCATCTTGGCCCTGACCTCGGGGTGGTCGGGAATCGCCAGCATGTTCCTATATAGAACGTTCGAACGAAGATCCCCGTGTGTGTTGTGTAAGGTGCAGCTCAAGCCTCTTCCGTGCGCGTGTCGTGTGCCATATGTGTCGTGTGTGGCTAATGTGTCAGAGAAAAGTGCAGGCGGGGTGAGTACTCTTGGGCGAGGGTGCGCGCGTCGGCGTTGACCTGCGACCAGTAGATGTAGTCGACCAGCGAGCGCGCCTTGTTGCAGTTGGTCATCGACCGCGTGCGGAGCACCAGGTGGTCATAGGTCACCATCGGCCAGCTCCCACTTCCTGCCCCTGTGACACACACCCCAGTCAACACACGCACCACCGCACGAACGCACGAACACACGAACACACACCGCGCACACACCACACACACCACACACACGATCAACGAGGAATCCAACGCACCATTTACAAGGTAGGAGGTGAAGGGCCGGGCTCGGTAGTCGTTGATGGCTGAGGAGATGCTGGCCGACGTCGCGGTGAGACGCACGTTCTGGAGGTTGATCAGGTCGGCGAAACCCAGGTAGCGCAGGGTGCGAATGGGCTCCTGCGAGGCCACCGCCAGGGTGTAGGACGTTGCCTGCAGCGGCGTGGTCACGTCGTCCACCACCACCGCTCTGCCCGTGTCCGCCACCGGAAAGTGGCCCGAGGTGCCCACCTGAGATCGTTTTGGGTTAATGCGCGTGCGGTGCGTGCGGCGAGTGCGCTGTGTGCTGGCATGAACCTGATCTCTGAAGGTTTGGCTGGCCGCGCTCAGAGTTTGGATGAGGATGCGGGTGGCCTTGTCGTCGCTGTTGGGGAGCGCCACGGTGATGGGCTGCGCGGGGAGCAGGCCCTGGAGGTCGGGATTGAGCTCGCGGATCGCTGGGTGGTCCCAAGTGTCGACCGTGCCCAGGTAGATGTCGGCCAGTGTCGACAGATTGAGCGCCAGCGGGGCCATCATCTGCAGCTGCGGCAAATTGTACCCCACGCCGATCGCATGGGCCACCACGGGGATGCTGAACTCGTCACCGGCCGTGGCCTGGCGCTTCTTGGTCGTCTCTTCGGCAAGGTCCAGTCCCACAATACTAAAGTCAACGTTGTCTGCAGATGACACGGCATGTTAGTGTTTCACAGAAGAAGAAGAAAAAGAAAAAGAGGTGAGTGGGAGACGTGCTGGCGGTCAGATCGTTCATGGACTCTGTCTCGCTGTCGGTGGCGAGGTAGGTCATTTGGAAGTTGGAATCGAACGGATACGAGCGGGTCCAGATGGGACCGATCGCGAAGGCTCTCCCCTTGCCAATCACCACCTTGGCCGAGAACGTCTGCTTGCCGTTGCATGTCAAAAGTCCATAGGCGTCCATCAGCAGCCTGCAGGGACAGAACACAGCAAGCCCGTCAGCACGCCGGAGTCAAAACAAGTGGCTCGGAGATAAAAACAAAAGCTGGTGTGCTGCTGCTATAGCGATCAAAGGTGTGTACCGTTTGTAGGAGAGAGGCAGAGGCACGTAGCCGAGGCGCTCTACCAGGCCACTCACGGCCAGCGCGTTGAGCTGGGTCCACGTGAGCATCTGCTCGCCGTAGGTGAGCCAGTTGCAGTCCGTGGATGTGATGCTGACTTGGACCGTGACCGAACTCATCATGACCGCGGGCCACGACGTCGAGAGGTTGCCGTTGTGCACCTCCACCAACAGTTGACGAGCAGTGGCTCGGTCTGACACCTCCGACAGCGCCGATTGCACCGACTCCATCGAGGCCACGACCGTCGCTCCTGTTTTGTTGTGTGAGCTCTTGATCATAGTTTCGTAACAGTTTGAGACGCCCGATGATGTACCAGCATTGTTCTTCATACGCGCATAGGTCAGGTTGGCCATGCCCGCGAACACGGTCGTTGTGTAGGTCATGCTGTACGGAACGGCCTGCAGAGCGCACCAACAGAAAGTCAACGTCTGGCGAAAACGTGGCCGAACTTGAACTGGGTGTGGGGTACCAGAACGTAGCCCAGCTGCTGCTCGCCCGGGGCGACGGCCACGGAGCGCAGGGGGTTGACGCCGCGCGGCACCCACTTGCTGGCGAAGGAATGGTTGGAGCCCAGGCCGAGCCTGAACTCTGGGTTGAAGTCCGACAGGGCGTTGGCGAACACGTCGGAGATGCTGGCGCGGGTCTCGTTGGCAAAGATGAGCGCGATCGGCTCGCCGGGCAGCGGGAAGCCCGGGTTGAGCTGGGCGATGGCCGAGTCGTTCCAATAGAGAATGTTGCCGGCCCAGATGTCGGCCAACACCGGCATGCTCAGCACCTGTACACCATTTTCACAACAATCATTGTTGGTCAGGCCATTCCTACATGAGGTGATGAATATATGAAGATATCTTCGTTGTAGGTTAGTACCAGGGTGTCATTGACCCCGGCTGGGCTGCCGGCCAGGTTGTAGGCGATGACGATGGCCTGGCCCACGACGGGCAAGTGGATGACGTTGTTGGCCTCCTGCCAGTCGGCCGGGTACGCGGCGTCCATCGCCGCAAAGTCCTGGTTTATCCAAAAGGAGAGAAAAAATGAACAACCTTGGCCGTTTGTTTCAGTGGCCCCAATAAATTCACGAGCAAAGTCCGTCGAGATCCGGAACAGGGGCCTCGAACGACCAGGTGGCAACACGACGCGTGCCGCAGAGGAGGAAAACGCACTTTGGTGCCGGACACGACGGCCGCAACGGCTTCCTCGGCCGTGAAGCCGGGAGAGTAGAGCATGCTGAAGTCCTCTTGAACGTACTTTGAGAGTGTCGAGAGGAGGAGAGGAGGTGATGAGAACTACAATGCAAATCTCAGAGGAATGTACGCGCATGCGTTGTTCGTGGCATTACCTTGTAGTCGACTGCCACTTCGGCAATAAGGGTGCCGAAGAAGAGGCTGCCCGCAGCGGTCATGATGGTGTCGCCACGGACCCCTGCACCCACGCCCCGACAGGAGAGGGACGACGTTATGAGTAAGACCTCAGGTGGCTCCACAACGACGTCGTGAGGGGGAACGCAAACCTGACGGAGCGAGGTGCAAGAAGAGAAGGAGCGCCACGAAGGCACGCAGCATCGCCGGCATGACGATGAAGGCAGAAGGGAGTCAGAAAAGTGTGGGGCGGAAGGATGTGTGCTGCTGTGTTGGAATGCCGGAGAGATAGATACAATACCCGAATCTGGACCGGAATCACAACAAACGACAACAACCGTAGCTCAACCGCCGACAGACCAACCGGGACCTATGAAGGAACACAACCGGAGGCCTGAGCCAATGGGAAACGTTGTGGGCTCAGTTAATGACGCAGTGCACGAGAAGGGAAATAGGGAAGCCCAGGGGGTACTAGGGAAAATAAAATAAAATAAAATAAAAAGAATAGGAAAAAACCCAAGATTAAACTAATATGTTGCATTAACTCAAGAAAAAAAAAGGTGAGGAGATGATGCAGCAGGAAGTGAAGCTTTACAACAATCCCAAAGAGCGGGAGATGTACGAGAACATGGCGGATCTCTATTCCATCATCAAAACTACAGAGGCGCTGGAGCGCGCTCACATGCGGGATGCCATTAATTATGAAGAGTACCCACCAACCTTTCTTGCTCTTTTTTTCCTCTTTGTTCTGATGTTCTTCGACTTGGGGGGGGGGTTGAAGGTACCGCGGCGCGTGCGCTAAGTTGATCACGCAGTACAAGACGGCGAGGAAGGTGACGCAGCCCCACGTACCCGACGTGCGCAAGTTCATGCAGGACTACCGCCTCGACTGCGAGGCCGCCCTCGATCGGCTCGAGTCCGGTGCGTCCACTCCTCACCTCGACACCTCAACAACTTTCTGCTGTGCTGCTGCTGTCGTCATAAATGTGTTGTGTGTGTGCCATGTGTCGTGTGTCGTGTGCACAAACACACCACGCTCACGCGACCACTCGTCGTACGCTGAACAGGAGTACCGGACAACCCGGACGTGACGATCGACCCCAAGGTGGTGGCCGAGACCGTGCAGTTCTTCATCACCGCCATGGACTCGCTCAAGCTCAACATGAACGCCATCGATCAGGTGCTCTTCACACACACACACCCTGCGTGTGCGTGTGCGTGTGCTGAGGGCCTGGTGGGCAATGCCAAGCTTCATTGAGACTCACGCCCGTGCCTGAATGTTGGCTGCGCCACAGGTTCATCCCCTCTTGACTGACCTGTTCGAGTCGCTGAACCGAATATCCGCGCTCGCGCCCAACTTTGAGGGCAAGGCCAAAGTCCGTCACTGGTATACTCTCACCCAACGGCAACATGTGCACACGCCACACGACAAACAACACGACACACGACACGACACAACTTTGCTGATAACGCACTTGACTTGGCCAGGCTTTCGCTGATGGCCTCGATGAAGGCCAGCGATGAGCTCAACGACGAGCAGGTGCGTCAGCTCCTGTTCGACCTCGAGACCTCCTACACCGCTTTCCACAACTCGCTCGGCGGCGGCAAGTAGCAGCTGGCCAAAGCTGGTCTGTTCTTGGCTCCCGTGCCCAACAACACAACCACGCACACGCACACAACACCATTGCCTCCACCTGTACCTACGCGCATTTACCAATACACTATTTATTTGTTAATTATTTATATATATGTTCGTTATTTATATGTTGGTTTACCAATACACTATTTATTTGCTGTTTATTCGAGACAAGTATTTGAAGAATGTTCGAGCTTTTTGGTGTTCGCGTAACGGCATGAACCAGGTGACCACCGGAGGTTTTTGAGAACTACTGGCCCTTGTGGTCGTTAAATTCATCCCATCTCTATCTCTGGCTTTGGCAATCCCTTCTTCGCGCTCCTCCTCTTCTCCTCTGCCTTCCTTCCCGCTCTGGTGAGCTTCACGAGGTGGAGAGCCAGCCCCGCCCCATTTGCCCCAATGCTCATCAACAGACTACTCAAGCGGGTGCGTTTCCGCAGATTTGTCATAGCTATGAGCCATGCTCTAGACCCTCCCCCTTTCATACTCCCCTCCTCTACTCGCCTCCCCTTGGCCGGTTGCCAATCGATTCAATTCCATTAATGGATTTTATTTCTTTTTCTCATTTATTAATCTGGCTGGACACCACAGCAGAAAGGGGCAGGAGGCCAGGAGGCCGACGCCACGCTGGCGGCACTGGACCCGTGGGTGGTGCTCTACGACGACCTCGTGTTCGGCCGACAGATTGGCAAGGGCAACTTTGGCCGCGTGTTCGAGGGCACCTACTTTGGTACTGCACGCCATCACCAAGCACCACCACACTACTCTCCTATCGCACGTGCGCTACTACTCGCCCTTACCTCCAACATCGTCTTTCTTCTACTTCTACTTCTTCTACTTCTTCTGCTTCCAGGCACGCCCGTGGCGATCAAGCACCTGTTCCCCGTGGGCGAGGGTCTCAGCGTCGAGCAGACCAGGAAGTATGTGGACCGCGAAATCGTGCTCCTCAAGTGCGTTGACCACCGCCACCCATCGTCCACCGTCGCCCTTCGCGATTCCCTTGTGAACTCACCCCGCGTTGGTGCATATCGCGTGTGTGTGCGTCGTGCGTGCCGTGTGCGTGTGCGCAGGAGCCTTCACCACCCCCACATTGTACAACTGATCGGCATATGCGACCACGATTCGGGGCAATACATCATCACCGAACTCGTGACCGGAGGTGACCTCAAGACCGCCCTCGCACGACGGGTACACCCCGAAGTCTATTCTTTTCCCCTTTTTTATTCTTTTTAAATTATTTTTAAGTTGAAGAACCGTTGACCAACACCACTCACGCTTCTTTCTCTCTTCGTTTTTCGTTTTCGTTTTCGTTTTCGTTTTTTCCTCCACCGCCAGGACTCGGTGCTCTCGTGGCGACAGCGCGTCGTGCTGGCAAGGGACGTCGCCTATGCGATGAACTTCCTGCACCACAAGGGCTACATACACAGGTACGATCTATATACACGCATATTCCAGATTCCAAGTGCGCCGAGTGCCGCGTGTCGTGCGTTGCTGACACATCATGCTGGCGGCGGCCCTGCACTGCGTGGTATTCCCAGGGATCTCAAGCCGGACAATGTGCTGATCACGGAGCACGGGCGCGCCAAAGTGTGCGACCTGGTACGCACTCGCGCTACTCGGACAACAACACGATGATCGCACACAATGGTCACTCCACTGCTACTGGGCTAACCTCTCCGGCTACAGGGCTTCGCGCGCGCATCGAAGAAGGCCAGCTCCTACATGACGATTGCTGGCAGCGTACGTTGCCGCTCGCTCGCCCGCCCGTCGTCTGTGGGTCACACTCACACCGCCTTTGTATCGCGCGCGTAACAGGATGACTACATGGCACCGGAAGTACTGATGGGAGACAAATATGACGAAAAATGCGATGTATTTGGGTGCGTCGACACGACACGACCCACGACACGACCCACGACACGACCAACGACACGACCAACGACACGACCAGCCGTTCGACTCACCTGGTTTTGGGGTTGTGTTGTCTCGCAGGTATGGAGCCGTGCTGGCGGGCATCGTCTCCCGCAGGCGGCCAAAGCGTAACGAGGACGGCCTCTACGGCTTCAAACTCGATCAATTCAAAGCGCTCATACCGCCCGAGTGTACGCCACGCCCCGGTCCCAACACGACTCAAACGACACACACATATCGCGCGATGTTGCGTGCTGGCTAACCGGCAGTCGCAAATGAGCACAGGCCCGAAGAAGCTGTCAGACCTGGTGCTGCAGTGCTGCGACTACGACGGCACCAAGCGACCGTCGTTCGATCAGATTCTGTCGACACTCACCAAGCTGCTCGACAAGGAGCTCAAGCACGAGCCCGACGCCGCCGCCGGCGATCCAGAGACCAAGGCCGACGCCACAACAAACGGTGCGCACTTTTTGCTGCACGTTTTGTGCGTTACCGACCGCGAACTGACGCATTCGTTCGTTGTCTCCTCAGAGCTGCGACCGTCGCTGAAGATGTTGATGCGATCGCAGCCCCAGAGGAGCATGAACCTGGCCTCGCCGCCCATGTCGCCGGTGTCCACCTCGTCGGCGCCGACCACGCCGCTGCAGCAGCAGAAGCTGATGAAGATGCACGGCATGCGGTCGATGGCCAAGGACGCCGGCCTGTGGAACCAGTTCCAGAGCGCCGACAGCCTTTCGCCCGCCAAGAGCGGCGGCAACTCGTCCAAGCTGCAGTCGCAATCGCTGTCGACAACGTCGGCGTCGGTCGCCAGTGTCGACAGTCGGTGCAGCGTCGCGCCCGGATCGGGCGGCGGCGTCAACCGCGAGCGCAGCGGCAGCGACAAGAGCATCGAGAGCTCGCCCCGCAATCGGGGCCTGGGCGCCGACCTCAACCACCGCCAGCGCAGCAGCAGCGAGAAGGCCATCGACACCACCAACAGCGGCGGCGGCGGCAGCAGCGGCAGTAGCAGCGGCGGCGGCGAGAGCGCGATGGAGAGCAGCGGCTGCAGCAGCGGCGGCGTGGGGCGGCGCAGCGCGCGGTCGGGCCTGCAGTCGCTGTGGAACCTGGGCAACACCGGCACCGGCACCGGGAGCGACCGCAGCATGGGCTGGACCGACAGCGAGCGCAGCATCAGCAGCGACACCAGCGGGCTCAGCTCGGCCGGCGACAAGTCCGAGACCGACGACAGCGAGCGCGAGCGCAGCAGCAGCAGCAAGCGGGCCAAGCGCGACAAGAAGAGCAAGGCCGGCAAGACCAGCAAAGGCAGCAAGGCCAAGGTCACCACTGCGGTCGGCGGCGGCGGCGGTGGTGGTAGCGGGGTGCACAGCGCGCGGCTGCTGTCGACGAAGGAGATGATGACTTGGATCGGGACGAGCAGCAACAACATCGCCACGCGGTCGGCGACGGGGGTGGCGGAGCCGAGCGAGGCGACGGTGGAGGGCGAGGAGGAAGAGAAAGAAAAGACGAAGGAAACGACGAAAGAAAAGGAGGAGAAGAAGAAGAAGGACGCGTCAGTCGATTCGGACGGCGGCCAGCACCACCACCACCACCTGCGGCCGCCCGCGGTCAAGTCATCGAGCCGCGTGCGATCAAAGACGAAGGAAAAGGAAAAGGAAAAGGAGGCGGATAAGGGATCGCGAACGCGGAAAGACAAGGAGAAGGAGAAGCGAAAGAGCGAAAGCGAAGCCGCCGCCGACACTGCTACCTGCTAGTAGTACGAGGAAAGCGAAGGGGAGCAAGGTGAGAAAGAGCGAAGCCGAAGCTAGCCCCGCCAGCCCGGCGCCGACGACGAGGACACTGACCACGCCCGGCGACATCGATGCCAAGCCGCAATGGGTGATCGTCGAGCCCCACCACCACGCCGCCGGAGACCGGGAGCGACGGAAGGACCTGACTGCACTGGCCCTGACCAGCGCCACCGCCGGCGCCGCCGCCTACAAGCAGAGGCCCCAGAGCGCCAGGCGCGCGGCCGAGCCGGTCGACCGCCGCTCAGCCATCGTCATCGGCCGGACCACCGCGACCACGAGCAGAAGCGGCGGCGGCGATGACGTCAGCAGCGTCGTTAAAGTAACCAGTGGCGGAGGCAGTGAGGCGACGCAGCGGTCGCTGTCGCGGCGCAGTCTGTCGCCGCGGGTGATGGCCCGAATGGTGGAGCGCGAGGAGTGGGAGGGCGGCAACGATCTGTCGAGCGACGAGATGGACAGCGTCATCGCGCAGTACGTGGCCTGCCCCAACTCGTACGCGTTCGGTGCTTCGACCATGCAGTTCTTCGGCAACCTCAAGAAGGGCGGGCGCGTCCAAACCCTCATCAGTACGTTTTACACCTCCGTGACGCGTGCGTCGTGTGCGTGTGCGTGTGCGCGCGCGTTCGTGCGTGTGCGTGTGCGGTGCGTGAACTGATTTGTGGCTACAGGTCTGTTCCAAGAGAGCGAGCAGGCAGCGACGGCGACGGCGACGGCGGGGGCTACGAACGAGCAGGCCGGGACGGAGGCCGGGCACACGGCGGCGGCGGCGGCTGGTGATGACGCGGGGGGCACGGGCCAGGAGGTGAGCAGCACGGAGAAGCGGCGACGACAGGAGAGCAGCGAGCAGCAGCAGGCGTCGGCCAAGGAGAGCGGAGACGAGGAGTCGGCGGCGACGCCGGCAACGGAGCGCGACAGCCAGCCGCCACCGCGCGGGAAGGACCGGAAGGAGGACGTCGCCGCCGTGCCGGCCACGCCGTTCGAGTGAGCGCGCGATAGAGGAGGAGGGCGATTGACGTCCCACTGTATTTCTAACCCAACACAGACAACAATAACCATCACAAGTACAATAGACTTTGGCGTGTTGTGTTGTGTGCGGTGTGTTGTGTTGTGTGGTGTGCTCCGTTCACTGTCTGGGGCTCTTCTGTGGTGAGATCATGATCTCCTTCGGACACGCCGTCATCGGGAACTGTGTGTTGTGTTGCGTGCGACGTTCAGCAGACACAACACGCACACAATCAACGACACCACACACACACGCACGGCGGGCGGGTACCTTGGCGACGAAGGCGACGGTGTGGGCGATGTCCTCGGGCTGGATCATCTTGGAGCGGTCGAGCCGGTCGCCGGTGACCATGGGCGTGTTGACCATGCCCGGCTCGATGGAGCACACCTTGATGCCCTTCTCCCGCAGCGCCTCGAACATTGACAGCGAGAACCCCACCACCCCGTACTTGGACGCACAATCTGGTGTCGTGTCGTGTCGTGTCGTGTCGTGTCGTGTCGTGTCGGGTCGTGTCGTGTCGTGTCGTGTCGTGTCGTGTCGTGTCGTGTCGTGTCGTGTCGTGTCGTACGCCGTGTGTCGTGCGCCGTGTGTGGTGAGTTGGAGGTTGCGTGGGGGAGGGGTGATGAGGGAAGAAGGTGTACAGGGGGCGGCTTCGCCCATGGCCATACGCCCGGAGATGCTGGCGATGTTGATGATGGCGCCGCCCTCTGGTGAGTGAGTGTGTCAGTTTCGAGAGAAAAGGGGAAGACAGCGTGGGCACGGCACCCTTTTTTTCGAGATGGGGGACGGCGAGGTTGGTGAGGCGCATGAGGGACATGAGGTTGAGGTTGATGCACTTCTCCCACTCCTCCAGCGGCTTCTCCGTCCCTCCCCACGTCCCGGCTGCATGTGTGTGTGGACGGTACCAAAAATGAAAACGAAAAGTGCAAATATAAAGCGAAAGCGAAAGCGATAATTTGGGGGGGGGCGACTTACCTGCGTTGATGAGGATGTTGAGTCCGCCCAACTTCTGCACGCACGCATCGATCGCCGATTGCGCCCCGTCGGCCGAGCTGAGGTCGGCCGTGATCGCCGCCGCATTGACCCCCAGTTTTCGGCATTCCTCGACCACCTCTTTCAGTTTCTAAGGCACGACACACGACACACGACACACGACACACGACAAGACACGCATGAGTTGGTACTGTACTCGCGGACAGGATGGGTTCGTGTACGTCTTCGCTGCGGGCCACGGCACCGATGTGGCAGCCCTTGCGCGCGAGTTCCAGGCAGCAGGCCTGCCCGATTCCCGAGCTGGCGCCGGTCACCAACGCCACCAAGTCCTTGATGTTGGTCTTGTTCGCCATCTTCTTTTTGTGTGATGTGTGTTGTGTGTGTTGCTTTCAGTCCGAGCTTTGCAAGTAAAATGGCTGTAGGACCACTCGAGCTTTGAAGCAGCGCGGGCACCACCCTGTCCTCTTCCCACGGACTGGCCAACATCAACCGGCCTGGCGCCCATTGACCTTTCCCTCTGTTTTCTTTGTATATTTGATCATTTTTTTCTTCTGCAGAATCCTTGGTTGGATGTCTTGTTACACTGCAAACTCCCACATCTTGTGATTGGCCAGCAAAAACCCTCTATGTTGAACTATAGTTATATGTTCTATGTATTGTGTTCATATGTACGTTGCATTATGTTTTATATTTACTATTTGTTATTTAGTTCCTTGGGGAGAAAGGTGAAAATCTCCATTTCTCTGGCTTGCATCTCTGGTGGCAGCGTTGATGAGGGCACCTTGATGAGCTCAAAGTAGCGCCGGGCGCGGTGGAAGAAGACGGCCTCGCGGCTCACCTCGCGCGGGGTGTAGGCGAAGAAGATGGCCATTTGGTGCCGCGCCGGCGGCGACAACGAGGCATCTGCCGCCAGCTCGCGGAGCGTGGCGAGCAGCGCCCGGTGAGCCTCCTCCTTGCTCCCGTAGACCAGATCGGCGCAGATGACAAAGTCGAACGGACCCAGTTCCCGCACGGCCGTGCTATCTTCTCCCCTGATGATGATGAAGAAGAAGAAGAAATGATGTTGATGACTTAATGATGACAATGATGACTTATTGATGCTCGTTTGCGGTGGAGGAGGCAAACCATCGGAGCGGCATGACCGTGACGGAGCCGCGGAGGTCGGAGTGGTTCGCTTCCACATTCCTTCGGAGGTTGGTTAGCGCCTCCTCGTCGCCATCCGTGAGCACAACGTCGGCCCCTGCGAGCGAGACAGAACACACGACACGACACGACACGACACACTACTTTGAGTCTGCGCACCATGATCACAGTCAAACGATCGATGGTACCGAGCAGGGAGGCGACCATGCCAACGATGCCCGTTCCCGCGCCCAGCTCGAGCACCCTCTTCCCTCGCAGCCCGCCCTCCCCGAAATGCCTCTCCAGGTACCGAGCCAGCTCGTAGCCCTGCTCGCCATTTATAAATTTTATTAATTACAATAGAAGAAAAATAAAAAATAAGATCAAGCATGAATAATTGTCCCGACTAAATAATAAATAATAAATAATAAAACGCCAGAAAGTGCGTACAGCGTCCCACAGCACGGCGCCGATGGACTTGGCGCCCTCGACCCAGGGTCGCTGGTGGAAGTGCAGCGTACGCCCCACAAAGGTGAAGGTGCGCACCTCCAGCCCAAAAGGCGTGTCTGCACAAGGGCCGGGGATGAAGAAGAGATCTCATTCGTTCGGAGCTACCAGATGAGAGCGTACCGATGAACGGGTTGCAGACGTTCCATAGGATGAGTTGCTTGCTCTTCTCGTCATCCTCCACCTCCATCCCTGCACTGGTCGCGAGCACGGCCAAGCAAAGCAGCTGTGCCCAACACAATACCATCAACTTTTTTTTCTTTCTGTTTTTCTTTTCTTACTTTAAAATTTCCCTTCGAGAAGGTTGGCGACAACAGAGGTGAAGGTGTTGTGCGATCGATCGATTCATTCAAAGCGAGTTGTATTTAAACAAGGGGAAATATGTATAGAGAAGAGAAAGAGAACTCCTACAGGGCTTATATCTATAGAACACACTAAGTTTTTCCACCAATCCGTGTCGTGGCTCGCTGTCGTCGAGATGTGAGGGATGGAGATGAGAGGATGATGGTTGAGGCGCAGTCGCTCGGCTCTGAGAGAGCACGCCACCACACCACCACCACACCAGCACCTCCACCACACCCAGACCTCGAACGCCGAACAAGCGCACCCCCTTCTCCTCCACCCCCGCACCTCACACACGACATCTTCGAGATGACAGAGATGCGGTCGAATTGGAGCTTCGTTGTCGGCGCGTTGTAGGAAGGATCGATCGAGAGAGAGCGAGGTAGCTTAGAAGAGAGAGCATCCCTTCTTCTTCTTCGGCTTGGGTTTTGGGGCCTGCTGGGGGTGCTTCTCGCGCCACTTGTTGATCCTGTGAACGAGGCGGAAGAAGGCTTCGTTGACGTTGGTGTTGGTCTTGGCCGAGGCCTCGAGGAAGTCGCAGTTGAACTTCTCCGACAGCGCCTGGCCGTCCTCGGTGGGCACCTCGCGGTCCTCCTCCAAATCCTTCTTGTTGCCGACGAGGATGATGGGGATGTCGAGCCTGTCCTCCTGGACGCGCAAAATTTGATTCCTGAACTTGGTCACCGCCTCGAAGCTGGTGAGTGTCGTGATGCTGTACACGATGAGGAAGCCCTGGCCCGTCTTCATGTACTGATCTCTGAGCGCCTGTTGTTGACAGATTGGGGGGGGGTTGTTAATCGATTGTAACCAGGGGGAATGAATTGACGAGGCCAAGGCGAAGACGTACGCCGAACTCCTCCTGACCGGCAGTGTCCATGATGTCGAGGGTGCAGGCAACGCCGTCAACTTCGACTTGCTTCCTGTTGTCGGGGAAGGTACCAAGTCAGCGCTCGCTCGCTCCAATGTATGCGCATAGGCAAATGAACAAATTCATTCTGTACGTACATGTAGCTGTCCTCGATGGTCGGATCATACTAGAAAGAAAGGAGAAGCACGAGATGAGAAGGAGATCCCAAGGCGTAATGACAAAAATCGAGTGCAGACGGATTTACATGAACCGCAGCCGAAGGAGGTGAAGTCAAGTACCTTGGTGAGGAAAGTGCCCTGGATGAACATGACGGTGAGGGCAGACTTGCCCACACCACCAGCTCCTACAACTACAATTCGGTATTCATTGTGCGAACTCGCCGCCTTCTGCGCCATCTTCTTCTTGCCGATTGATGATGACTATGTACTCACTCTCGCTGTTCTTTCCTGTACTTCCTTGTCGATCGAGAAGAGAGATGAACAGAATGTGTGCTGCTGCTGAAGAAGGATAGCGGCACTCGGGGGGGTCGTGTCTCTTCCTGGCTGCACGCTGGTGGTCACGGACTCGAGAGCTAAACCTTTTCGCATGAAAACACCGCCGACCACACACGGCCGTTGTTCGGCGCGCTGATTCGCTCTGTGGCTCCGCGCCTTCGATTGGCCGTTGGTCAGCCGGGCCTGAAGTCGTGTGGTGTGCCGGGAGTGTTGACACGGGCCTGTCCCACGCAACGGCTGCATGTCTACAGTTCAAGTGTCGACAGTGTTTGATTAGGGACCAATGGGAAATCGTACGAGCTTTCTCACGCTTCGGTTTGGTGGTCGTGCAAACAACAGCGACGCGGTGACCGTTACGTCCTTGTTGTGTCGCGTGCGCGGTGGCGGCACAAGGATGAAGTGACCCGTGCTCCTGCGGCGGGACACTTCGTGGCGGGTATTGACGAGAAGGACTTGAAGGTGCAGGTGAACGTGTGTCCACGAGGGACCCAGTGGCAGCCGTGTCCAGGTTTGTGGGCGGGATCGTGGGGCACACCATCACCTTCTCTTTTGGCCTGGTTTTCTTCGGCTTGGTGCGCGGCTCCATAAAGTACTTCTTGACACCTTCTCATCCCCCCCCCCAAGCACCCGCTTAATTGCCTTGTTCGCTGTTGCCTGTGCTCGCCAGTGCCCCACGTGCTTGTGTAAGCCTTCGCATATTTGACGTTGTGATCCGCATTTTCAGCCTTGCCCCACAACGGGTGCTCGCCTTCCGCAGAACCGCCACTCAAAAGCCAGCACCAGCCTTCTCTGTTCTCTGCACGTCAGTTTGTCTCAGGGCCAAGGCACCTGCTTGGCAGTGACCGCTCGTTACAGTTCGCTGTCAGCGGCCATCAGGCCCGCCCACGATGAGAGATCCCAAACCTTGTGTCAACTTCTTCGGTGAGTGGGTCCCACTGTCTGTGGGCCTCAGCCCGTTTGAGCGCTGGTGTGTGATGCGTGGTGGCACGCCAACTGACCCTGCGTGATGGGCTCTATTTGTGGGCTAGGAAGATGAGCGGAAGTGTGGGGAATGGTTCCAGTCCTTCGCCCGGCTGTGTGCTGCCTAAGGGACGAGACCGGTCGCTCCCGCCGGCCTCCAATAGCGTGGTCCGGCCCTGGGCATTCAAACGCCTGCCCAGCAGCATCTCTGCTCATATTTACCCCAAACGCCCGTTGGCAGTCAGCCACCGGTCTGCCGGTCTGTCGAGACTTTCCTTGTACCGGCCTGGTTGGCGGATCCACCATTCCCTGTAGCACCTACGCTTTCGTTATTCACACCACCCACGCCCGCCCACGCCCGCTTCACCATCGCTGATCACACCTCACCCCATCCATCCATCGCCACCTTCAGCCATCTTTCTGCTCCCGTACCACCACCTCCAAGCCGCCTCGCTCTAATCGCCGACCGACCGACTTCTAACAAAGAAAGAAGAACGAAGAAAAAGAACGAAGAGCGACGTCGTCTCGCCCGGGTCCATCCAGACCACACAGCTACATCACCACCAACAGCCAACCATCTCACCTTCCCCACATCAAGTTTGAACAAACACCGAACCAAGATCATTAGCTCCACCAACGCAGCAGAGCAACCAGCCGCTTCGGTTGCCCCTTCCTGGGATCCCAGCTCTCGCGTTCAACGTCAGTCGCTGCACATGAACCCGCCGTGGACAGGTTCGCCTGAAGCAACGGCCGCGGTGTCGTCTTTCTCATCTTCGCAGCACGGGTCAACCACCAGTAGGAGGAGGGACACTACTCCCTCGCCCCTTCGAGAAGATCACGAGGCGGCGAGCGGTCGAGGAAGCAGCGGCGGCATGATGGCCCTCCTGCTGGGTAGGCCCAGCACCCCCACCGATGGCAGCGAGGAGAGCGGCAGCAGGTACTACTCCTACGACGTCGACTTTGGCTGGCGTCCGCCATCTTCTTCGCCTGCTGCGACCCCTTCGTCCACTTCCACTACACCCTCCTCGACTTCCGCGGTATCAAGTTTCAACGCCTACCCGTTCGAAGGCACATCACGGCATGGCCGCCTCCAACCGATTGCCTCTTCGTCATCTTCTACATCCTCCACTTCTCCTCTACGAACGGCCGGAGATGAGCAGCTGCTCTACACCAGCAGAGCGCCCAACGGCCCTGCTTGCCCATCCACTACTCTCCCGACCAGTACTACTTCGGCCTCGCCATCCACCTCGCCCACCGCTACTTCCACTACGCCCCCGACCGCCGCGCCCAACAACGCCTTCGGCTTCGACGTGCCCTACTACCTCCACCTGCCTCGTCCGTCGTTGCCCTCGTTCGAGCCCATGCTGCCGACCACTGTGGTGGGGTTCTCTCCCTCCTTCTCATCTTCGATCTCGCCCATCGCTACGACTTCATCGTCGGCCACGGCTCAGTCCCCTCACCTGATGCCCATCGAGACCACCACCGATCTCTTCAGCCGCACGTCGTGGCCCTCCGTCTCGTTCTCGTCGCTGCCCGATGTCTTCAGGCCCTCCATCCTCTTCGCGCCCTCTTCGGCTTCGTCTGGCTATGCGCGCGGGGATTCGGCCTCGTCGTCGACCTCGTCGTCTTTTTCCTCGTCGCCGCCCACGCAGATGCCCGCCAGCCTGGCCTGGTCGCCCACGGCCTGGCGCCCGTCCTCGCCCGGCACCTCGCCCGACTCATCATCCGCCTCTTCTTCGTTTTCGCTGCCCGAGATGTCCGCCTCTGCCACCGCCACCACATCGCTGGACGCGGCGGCCGCGGTGGCAGCGGCCCGAACGCGACGCAAGCGGTCCTTATCATCAGCGACGGCGGCCGAGTCGAGCGGCCGCGAGGAGCGCAAGCGAGAGCAGAAGAAGCCGCGGCACCAGCAGCAACAACAGCCGGCCTCGGCCTCGGCCCAGCAGATGCATCAATCCCAGAGGCAGTCGTCGTCGTCGTCGACGCGCAAGCCGATCCTGCGGCGCAAGATGGAGGAGGAGTACTATCACTACCTCAAGGAGAAGCTCAGCCGCATGGAGACCACGCGCAAGAAGCGGGAGCAGGCGGGACTCGATACGATGAGTTCCACTTCGTGTCCGGTGTCAATGTCGTCGTCGCCCGAGTCCAGCGATCTGTCGTTAAGGTCGTCGCCCGAGATGGTCGCACCAACACCTGGTCCGTCGCTTTCGTTCTTTCGCTTCGCCTCTATTCGCTTTCTTTATTCTGTTTCTGTTCAGCACTCACACGAACTGGTGGCGATAGACGAGCTGCGCAAGGAGGAGGAGCAGCTGTACGTGAGCGGCACGGCGATGGAGTGTTTCCGCCACTTCTACGAGTACGTCTTCCAGAGTCCTCTGTCCAGAGTTGTGCTCTCTCTCGCTCACGAAGCCCACGACCGACATTCACGACAACACAGGAAGATAAGCTCGTTCCTGGTGGTAGAGAATGTGGAGTTGGCCAACGAGGAGTGGCTCAAGTCCGTTCTCAGGAGCATCGTCTGCCAGGTGACACCGTTCGCGCTCAAGATCAACGCCATCCTGGCTTTCGGTACGGGGTCGCACTCAACCCTGAAGCTGCGCAGCGCAGCTTGAGGACTCAGGCGCTAACTCGGGTGGATCCAGGTGCCTTGATCAGCGGCCAGCGCCATTGGGCGGACATCTTCTTCGATAAATGGCGGCGGCTGCTGACCGAGTTCTTCGACTCGTCAGACTACGAGGTCGCAGAAGGCACGCCCCCACCACGCAGGCAAGCCAGGCGCTCGCTTTCGGAGATTATCGGCTAACACAATCTGGAACAGGACTCGCTGTGATGAGCTACTATCTCTTCTATCTGGGCGACTCCACCCGCGCGCGGTGTTACGCGGAGAGCGCCGCAGAGATCAGTGTCAGGTACGTTCACAGGGCGCCCTGTGCCGTTTCCAAAGAGCCAAAGTGCGCCGCTGACGGGTGTGCGTGCGTGTGTTGTTTCCAGAGCCAGGGCTGGCGGCGGGCTCATGTTCATTCGCGCCCAGACGATGACCGAGCTCATCGCCGCCAACCCGGGGGCGCAGAGCGACGTCGGATCGACGCTCTATCTCAAGAAGCCGCTCCTCACCTTCCCGCCCGGCGTCGAGGAGCCCACCAAGCTGGCCATTAGCGGCCTGCTCGAGCAGCTCATCCTCGCCTCGAGCAAGATCCACATGTGGCGCACGAGCCAGCACATCGCCGAGTGCGCCGAGCGGAGCAAGCGAGGCCGCCGGCGCCGAAAGTCGTCATCGTCTTCGGCGTCGTCGGGGGGGCTCTCGTCCAAGAAGCGCCCGTGCGCCCACGCTGCGCTGTCGTCGCCGCTCCACCTGCTCTCCGTGCTGCAGGCCATCGAGGAGAAGCTCGAGCACCTGGAGCTCCGACAGCGCGAAGCGTCCGCGCGGAAGGCACCCGGCGGCGGCCGCAAGGGCAGCCTGGACGCCCAGCAGCAACCGCAGCAGCCCTTGGCCCCAGCCGCACAGTCGGCGGCGACTGCGGCGACTACGGCCGCTACGAGCGAGCAGAACGTGTTCCTGAGCGACCTGCTGGCCTTCACGCGCTTCGTGCTGTTCAGCGTGCGGGCCGACTGCCACCGCGAGGCCGGGATGACCAAGAACGCGTACCTCAGCGCCGAGAAGATCCTCATCCAGCTGGAGAAGGAGGCCGGCCGGCTGATGAAGTTCGTCATGGCCCTCTCGCCGCTGGTCCTCTCCTTCGTGTCCCCCATCATCGAACTACTGTGCGGTACGTTTGTGTCTTTTCGTGTGTAGTGTGTGTCGTGTGTCTGATCGCCAGTTCAACACAGGCCCACTCCAAGCGCAGTTCCTCACAGCCGCAGACAGCCTGCGTGCGGTGAATCTGCTCAGCCCGCTGCGCGACATCTTCCCCAACATCCTCCCATTGCGGACCGATCTCGCGCACGCCGTTCCGTTCTCCACCGTCTCCTCCACCACCTCCGCTTCCTGTTATGTTGAATTAATGCCGACAAATTGTCGACGCTATGTAAATGAGAAAAGAGAAAAGAAATGATTCGCACAATTTTCTCTGTGGAGCATCTCTCGCTCGATCATCAATCTCCATCTCGTTCTTGGCCATTTCCGCCTTTAGCCAAAGGAAATCGAATTTGATTCGGATTCACACACATCGATAGAACAGAAAATGGAGACGCAGCCAGCACAGCAGAGCACGAAGAGCGGAACGGTGGTCGATGCGACCGCCCTGTTCGCACTCACCGCCAAGTGCAAGCTCCACCCTGTGGTGGTGTTCAGCATCCTCGATCACTTCAGCCGCAGGAACGAGAATCAAGAGCGAGTCGTGGGCACCCTTCTCGGCGTGAACAACGATGGCGTCATTGAGATCAAGAACAGCTACCCCGTTCTCCACAACGAATCGGGTGCGCTGATTGGCATCGATCGCGAATTCCACAGGTCCATGTTCGATCTCAACCAGAAGGCCAATCGCGGTGAGGTCATCGTGGGCTGGTACACCACCGGATCGAAGGTGCGCACTGCCCCCCCCCCGCAATGCGGATCTCCGTCCTATTTGCGTGATTTACGCTACATGCGCCCAAATTTGCTTTGATTATTGGCCATTTCCTGCATTACCCACCCAGCATTTATCGTTAATCATTTTTCATTTTCTATAATTGCTTCCTCCACTCTATTAATTCTTCCCTCATTAAATCTACTATTAGGTGCCCGACTCGGCTGCCGCCATTCACGACTTCTTCTGGCGAGAGGTGGGCGCCCCGCCCGTGGTGCTGCTCGTCGATACGGGCCTCACCAACGCCAAGCTCGACGTCTCCGCCTTTGTCGGTCCGTCGCCGTCGGCCCTCGCCGCTGCCGCCGCCGCCGGCAGCAGCGGTGACGCCGCGCCCGCCGCCCCCGCCACGCCCGCCAAGCCCACCCTGTCACTCTCGACCGTGCAGCTCGAGTTCAGCGCGCCCAAGCCCGAGCGGCTGGGCCTCGCTGCTCTGTCAAGCACCGAAGGTCTGCGCGGCACAGTGGGCGAGGAGGGTGCGCTGCTGGACGACCTCGACAGCGTGGAGCGGTCGATGGGCAAGCTCATCGGCCTTCTTGATGAGGTGACGGCCTACGTGCAGCGCGTGATCGAGGGCAAGGAGACGCCCAACGTCGAGGTCGGCCGGCTGCTCTACGACACCCTCTACTCGCTGCCCAAGGTCGACGCCGAGCAGTTCGAGACCCTCTTCAGCAAGCAGATCCAGGATTTGGTCATGATCGTCTACCTCTCCAAGCTCACCAGGACCCACCTCACCCTCAACGAAAAGCTCCAGAGCCTTGTCCAGTAGACCCCAATTGCCCCCCACAAGTCCCCCACCCACCCGCCCGCGCGCTACTCCAATCTCTGCTAGCGTGTACGGATGACAACAGTTTCTTCTTCTTCTAGACCCTCTTCTTCGAGCTTTGCGTCTCCTCGAGCTCCCCACGACCACACAACACAAACACCCGATCGACCTCTGCTCGCGACTAGTCGACAACAAATACCAAAACTAGGAAAAGAGAAGGAAAAGAAATTCAGGAAAATCAACAAAAAAGGTTCTTGATTTCTTGCTGTTGAATAATTACTGAACGTAGCAGAGAGATGAGCCAATCGAACAAGAAAAAGAAGAGAAGGGGAGGGGCCAGGAACAAGCAGCCACGCGCATCAACGGCCTCCTCATCTTCTACTTCTACTTCCCGTTCAGATGGCGGTGCAGTCGCCCCGCCCTTTGAGCGGCCCGAGACCTACACGCTCATCGCCAAGGAGGTGCCGTCGGACATGCTGCCGGACCTGCTCAACGCCCGGCCCAAGATGCTGGGCGCCTCCGCCGTGCGCCAGCGCTACCTCCAGGGCGTGCCCGTGTCCGACGTCTTCATCGACCTGCTCCGCCCGCCGTCGCGCGTCTCCGGTGCCGAGTCGCCCATGCTCGTACAGCTCCGCTCGTTCTTCCCCGTGTACCCCTTCAACTACTGCGCCACCTGCCTCGGCAAGTACCACACGGGCGCCTGCCCGACCATTCCGCTGGCCGATGTCCCGCCGCCGCCGCTCCTGGCGCCCACCGCCGCGCCGGCGACCACCACCGAAGCCAACCCCATCGGGCGCCTCGAAGACGGAGATGACGACGAGCTGCCGCCACTGCTCGACGAAGACGAGGTCGACGACAACGCGGACAACGACGACGACGAGCTGCCGCCATTGCTGGACAATAGCGACCTCAGCGCCGACGAAGAAGAGCCCTCATCATCGCAGGCGCAGCGGTCTTTCGTCAAGCCCGGGCAGTCGTCGTCGTCATCGTCGTCTGCGCGCACCGCGCGTGGTTCTGCGCGAACGCCGACGGGTGGTGATGCTCCGAGCGACGGGCCGGAGGGCAACTACTACGACGACTACCGCTACAATCCGCCGCTGGTGTACGAGCAGTCGGTCAGCTTCGTCACCGGCGCCGTGCCCCCGATTCGCGACTTCTCGCGCCACCGCGCCGCCATCCTGACCTTCCTCATGAGCCAGAACGTCGACGTCGCGCAGATCACAGACGTGCAGCCGACCACCACCGGCTTCAAGGTGTTCCTCGCGTCGTCGATCGCCCTCCGCGACTTTGGCCGACAGACCGAGTGCGTCGTGCCCACCCTGGGCAAAGTCAAGATCGAAGTCTTCAATGGCTACCGGAGAGGTGCACATCATCAACACGCACACACGCGCACACACGCACACACGCACACGCACACACGCACCGCGCACGGCACACACACGCACACACACAACACACAACTGCCGCATATGCAATGCTGAGTGTGCGCATGATTGCAGATGCGAAGCCCGGGTGGCATGACACGGGCAACGAGGAGGACTTCACGGACGAGGAGGACTACGACGAGGACGGCTACTACCGCCAGGCACCGGCCGTCCCCCTCCCGAAAGCAGCGAAAACGAAAACGAAGGCGAAGACAAAAGCGAAAGCGAACGCGAAAACGAAAGGCGCAAGCGCTGCCGCAGTGCCGCCGGACGATGACGACGACATGCCGGCTCTGATGGACGGCAGCTCCAGCGAAGACGAAGACGACATGCCGGCGCTGCAGGACGGAAGCAGTGACGAGAGCGACCACGACGACTATGCCCTGCGTCGGCCGGTACCGAAGCCTCTTCACGTCGTCGTCGTTGTAATTGTATGATTGAACGATGACTGATTGTGCGCGTGTCGCATCTGCCTGTCAACAGCAAAAACCGGTGAAGCCACCGCGAGCGGTGATCGTGAGCCGGATCAAGGAGGAGCAGGAGCAGCGTAAGCAGCTCGACGAGCACCTCAAGCAACTCGAGATGACGCGGAACCAGGTACTCAAGCGCCAGCGACGACAGGCCCGGAGGCCCGAAGACGACGAGGCGGAGGCCATCCGCTTCGCCGACTTCCTCAGCGGCGTCGAGCGGCGGAAGGAGTGGAAGTGCGTGCGCGTCGACTGCAAGAACCCCGTCATCTACCACTACGAAAAACGGTACTGCCACACCTTGAGTCTTGATGTTGACGCGTGCTGACGTCACACCCATCACCACACACAGAGTCAAGGCAAAGTGCGAGAAGGGCTGCGTCGCGCAGTACCACAAGAGCTGCTGGCAGGAGGTGGCCAAGGAAGCACCCCATGGCGGGCACGCGCTCTGCGCTCAGTGCGGCGCTCGCATCACCTGGACATCGCTGCGCATCAACTTCGGCGAAAAGAAGAAGCTCTACGCCCAGGGCGACGAATCGGTCGTGGACCAGCCCGACAATGGCACTTCCACCACCACAACGACGGCGACAAAGAACGAAAGCGAAGGCGGCAGCGACGTCGGTTCAGAAGAGCGAAAGCGGGACTGGCTCGCGTCGGCCAAGCGACAAGAGGAGGAGCTCAAGAGGCGGCGCGACGAGGCCGAGCGCAAGCGAAGGGAGCAGGAGGAGCTCGCCAAGCGGGAGGAGGAGGAGCGGCGCCAGAAGCGGCGTCAGGAGCGTAAGCAGCGCAAGAGAGAGCGCGACCGCAAGGGCGAACCGCAAATGGGCGAGATGGTGGTGGTGGCCAAGGCCGGTGAGCGCGCCCAGCCCAAGCCCGCCGCCGCCACCGCCGATGGGAGCTCCCCGGCCGACGCGCCGGCCGTTGACCCCACCGCCCTGCTCCAAGCCGCACCTGGTACGCGCGCTCATTGTCCATGTCCCGCGAGCCCCCTATATGGGTACTGACTGCGCTTTGTGTGCGTCGTGTGTCGTGTGTCGTGTTGGGTGTGCAGCTAAAATTCACATAAAGAAGGCGGAAAGGGACGAGCTGCCGGAGTCGGCCAAGCAGGACCTGGAGCGACGCAAGCAGCGAAACGCCAAGAAGAAGCAGAAGAAGCTCGAGAAACGCCAGGCCAAGAACGCCCTTCGCATCGACCTCGCCTCGCCTCCCTCTTCCACCACCAGTACCCACTCCTCTCTTTCTGTCGTGTTGTGTCGTGCGTGTCGTGCGTGTCGCGTGTCGTGCGGTCCCTCTGACTCGAGTCTCTCGAAGCTGACGCAGGCACCGGCACTCCGGTCTCGCTGGCGGCGGTGGCCGACTGGCCCGCGGAGGCGCTCCGGGTGGCGCAGTCGGAGGGCTACCAGCTGCCGCCGCCGGGCCGCGTCGTGCTGCCCATCGTCGACCCCGTCACCGGCGCCGTCATCAATGCCGCTCAGGCCGCAACGACCGTCGTCAACCACGACGAAGAGGACATCTGGGCCGTGCCCGCGGGCGACAACGGGGCCGCCACGACCACACCCGCCCACTAATGGGCCGACCAATCACTGAGCAATGTACATTCCACTTCGCTCGAAAATAGCTTTCTTTTCCTTTTCCTCTTTCTTTTCTCTTTTTTTCTTTGGCGTGTGTTTGGTGTGCGCCGAGCAGCAGGCTACATAGTACGCCGACAGCGACGACTACGACTACTTGGCCTGCTCGCCCTTCTCCTTGCCCTTGGCGGAGGCGGAGGTGGCCTCCTCGTCCTCGCGCTCGCCGATGTGGATCCGCGCTTTCGAGGTCTTCATCGTCAGGTGCACGTGCAGCACCTGGCGGCGGTCGTGTGCGCGTGAGCGATCATCGACACGACACGACACGACACACGCGGGGGGGAGGGGACGACTCGTACCCCTTCGCTGATGTGCGCCCGGATGAGGTCGCGTTCGACCTTGTAGGGCAGCCGCACGGTCCGAAAGAAGCGGCCGTAGTGTCTCTCCTGGATGTGATACACCCCCTGCACCTCGCACGCTGGCCACGCCACCCATCAGCATCGTGTGTCGTTGGTCGTTGTCGTGTGTCGTTGATCGTGTCGTGTGTGCGTCATACCAGATTCCTCTTTGGCGCGTTGGGGCTTGAGGGCGGCGATGGTGAGACTCATGGAGCCGTCTTCGTCGTCCTCGTCTAGCTCCAGCCCGATGTCCTCCCGGGGCACGCCCGGCAGCTCCACCTCCACCAGCAGGTGCCCCGTGTCCTCCTCGAACAATCTTCCGCCCCCCACGCAACACAACATCAACACGACACGACACGCACGCACACGCGTGTCATTAAAGTGACGTACCGACGCGAGGGCACCAGAGGGTCTGGTCGTCGATGTTGGGGTTGAAGTACACCTTGTCGACGTCCTTGAGCCCTTTCCAGCCTGAGCACGTGCGCAGTCCACAGCCAATCATGAGGACCCACGGGGGTTGGGGCTAGGGGGGCGGGGGGGCGGACCTGGGAGGGACTTCCAGTCGACGCCGGCCTCGCGGATGAGGCGGCCGCGGCGGATCTCCCGCGGCAGAGCCGCCACCTTCTCGCCCCACTTGCCCATCCGCTCTGATCTCCACGTCAATCAATGGCTGCACGCTACGAACTGCTTTTGTGACGGTTGGTACCGAGGCTGGCAGGGGAGGACAGGTCGCCAAAGTCTTGTGGAGTGTAGTTCATCTTCTACTTGTGGTTGCGGTTGTAGTTTGTTCGAAAGAAGGACCCGGCGAACTGTAGTGGTTAGGGTGGGGGGGGGCAGTAGAAGGGACCACCTTTCACCCACATTCCAACCAAGTACCATTGTTTCGTCCCTGTCTTCCCCAGCCCAGTCTGTGCGCACCGCAGAACTGTGGAAAGCCCAGACCGGAGCCCACAACAGGCTTGCTGGTTGCACCCCCACCTCCACACCTCACATGCAACTGGGAGTGATCACCTGATGGTGGTGTGTGTGGGCCTGCCCTATCGGCGGGTGGTTGGTGACTCTCGGTGGCACCAACCAACCCTCTCGGCGGCACCAACCAGCCCTGTCGGCAGGTGGAACGTGGCTAGAGTGGTCCAGCTTGCTGGCCTATTGGAGTCGGGTGTTGGGATGGGCGGCGTTTACGTTTTCTTTGTTGTTCGTGGGGGTTGCAAAGTTGTTTGTTGATCTTCGCACGCAACACTCAAGAGGAAGTGGCTTGGTAGAGAGACCACCCTTCCTCACCCACCCCTTTCACAAACCAAACGGTAGGCAGACCTCCCCTTGTTATCTTCGCATGAAAACAAAAAATCAATCAATTCACGTGAAATGAAATGAGGAAGATCTTCATTTCCTTATGTCTCGAGTAGCGGCTCTATTCAAATCGCCTCGCCACCCTCTCTCTGTTCAAAATAAAAGGAGAAGGAGGGTGCACCAATCACAGCCTGAAACCACCCCTCTCGAAATCTCGATCAACAATCTTCAGACCACGCATCTCATTCTCATTTTCACAATCCGTTTCTTCTTCATTCCATGAATTGTGGCGATTGGCCAGAAGAAAGAAGATGCAAGCGTGGCTCGGCTACATCGCGGCCGCCGTGGCGGTCCTCTGCTTCGGCAGCAACTTCGTGCCGGTGAAGAAGTTCGAGACCGGCGACGGCATGTTCTTCCAGTGGATCCTCTGCACGGGCATCTGGCTCACGGGCCTCGTCGTCAACGGCATCCAGGGCTGGCCCCGCTTCGAGCCCATCGCCATGATCGGCGGCGTTCTCTGGTGCACGGGCAACCTTCTCACCGTGCCCATCATCAAGATGATCGGCCTCGGCCTCGGTCTCCTCATCTGGGGGTACTCCCTCCAGCTCCCCACTTCACTCCCCAACGCGATGACGATCTGACCGTGTGTCGTGCGTTGTGTGTTGTGTGTGTCGTGTTGCGTGTTGCGTGTTGTGTGTTGTGTGCGGTAGCTTGACCAACTTGATCATGGGCTGGGCCACGGGTACCTTTGGCCTGTTCGGTCTGGACTCCAACGAGATCAAGACACCGTGGCTCAACTACCTCGGCATCTCGCTGGCCGTCCTCTCGGTCGGTCTCTACGCCTTCGTCAAGCCCACCGTCAAGAAGATCGGTAAGCTACACTCTCGCGCCGTGGTGTGTGTGTGTGTGTGTGTGTCATGAGTGTGTCATTGGTCGTGTCGTGAAGTGCTGAAGCAGACTGTGGTGTGTGTGTGTGTGTGTGATCAGGTGAGGACGATGAGCACCAGCAGGTCGATGAAGAGTACCGCTCCGTCAACGGCGGCAAGCCCGATGACTACCTGCTCAACAACGGCGGCCACCACGAGCACAAGGCGCAGGACGACTCGTTCGCCTTCCTCGAGAACCTCCCGCCCGTGTGGAAGCGCGTCGCTGGCGTCCTTATGGCCGTCCTCGCCGGCTTGTTCTACGGTACGCTGTGCGTGTGCGGTGGTGCGTGTGCTGCGTGTGCGGTGGCTAATTCTACGAGTGGTGGATGGTGTCGCCGCTCAGGTGTGAATTTCGACCCGCCGCAGTGGCTGATCGACCACAGCAACAAGGAGAACGGCAACAGCACCGCCGGTCTGGACTACGTCTGGTCCCACTTCTGCGGCATCTTCATGGGTACGCACGCACGCATGCGCATCTTTTTGATACGCGGTGCCGAGTGGTGGCCGACCTGAAACTGAACTCCCCCCCTCTGGCGTGATGCAGCGTCGACGGCCTACTTCCTGCTCTACTGCGTGCTCAAGCGCAACAAGCCCGTGGTCTACCCCGAGGTGGTGCTCCCCGGCGTCATCTCCGGCGTCATGTGGGCTGTCGCCCAGAGCTGCTTCTTCGTCGCCAACCAGGGTACCCTCTGTCCCTTCTCGGCTCTTCGTTGAGTGATGAGTTACTGACGTTGGTCGTGCCGTGTCGTGTCGTGCCGTGCCGTGTCGTCGGTAGGTCTGGGCATGACGGTGTCGTTCCCGATCATCGCGACTGGCCCGGGCGCCGTGGGCTGTCTGTGGGGCATCATCCTCTTCGGCGAGATCAGGGGCCTACGCAACTTTGCCTTCTTCGGCGCCGCCGTGGTGCTCAACGCCGTCGGCGTGGCCCTCATCACCCTCGGCAAGTCCCTCTAAGCCTCTTTCGGACACGAGCCAAATATACTATGAATATTTAAAATAAAATATTCAAAATATCAAACACAGTGTCTGCATAAATTTGTTGTCACACTCCGAGAATGTGCCAACCGAACAACTGTCTTCGAACAAATCGGCCGACAGTGGCCGTTGGTGGCGCACTTGTTTGTCGTTCGTTGGCCGTTCGTCGTTGTTCGTCGGCCGCGCGACGGGCGCGTGGATCCCACGAGGGTTGGTTTGGATGATGTTCGCGCGTCGCAGCGGTCGCCGTGGGTCGGGTCACCGATGCCGCGTGCCGTCTAACGGCAGAGCTCAGAGCCCGGGCTCTGTGGCCCCCGTGGCGAGCCGAAGGGTGAAGAAGAAGGTCCGGGACCAAGGGTCAAGGGCCAAGGGCCAAGAGGCAAAGCAGAAGGACACAAGGTAAATCCAATCACACCGTTGGTTGAAGGGCGCGACTGTTTGTAGGGGAAGTGTGCCGCGTGTTGCTCTCGGCAACGACAAAATGTAGCAGCGAGGATTTTCGCTGAGCCCTCTCTGCCCAATGATACGCTGTTGCTCTCGGTGTTTGGATCAATTATTGAAATTCCGTAGGTTTAACGCGTCTGGTTGGTCAAACTTTATTGGGGCTCGTATATTGGCCAAGACGATCGCCGCGTCGGACCAACCGGACACGCGAGGCCGGCTTCATATAAATGTTGTGCTCGTTGCTTATTGGTTGGCCGGAGGCGGAGGCCCGCAGCCCCCGTTCTCGTTCACGTTTGGCCGCCCTTGACCCTCATTACTGTGTTGTCTCCGTCTGCCCTTCGCACCTCCACGGCTTCGCTTACTGTTTCTTCCCCTCCTCTTCACCGAGAGCTACGATAAGCATAAGCTAAGAGAAGAGGAAAGAAGAGCTTTTCGGATCTGTTTTTCATAGATCGATCCGAACTCTAACCCACAACCGGACCAACGATGACGCGCTCATCTTTCTCGATGACTCCTGCCCTCGTGGCCCTGTTCTTTGTGGCCCTCGTGGGTCCTTCCCTCGTCTGTACGTCCGTGATCTCTATCTATCTGTCACCTAGTTTACCTGGTTCTCATCTTTCTCCGTTTTTTCGTTGAGCTCCAAGTGCTAGCGCTCGCTCTACTACTTGGTTTTTTTCCGCATCTCCTGCTTCTTCTTCTACTTCATGTTCTCCTCGATCCATTTTTATTCGCCCAAGCCCCTAAGGGCGCAAAATAATCCGCTTTCGCGGGCTTTTTTTGTTTTGTTTTCGCGCCATCTTTGAAGATGGGATGTGCTGACTCAAGATCCCATCGTTTTCCTTGGCACCGTATATAGTGGCCCTTACGTGCAGCTACCCGAGCTATGGTAAGTGCACGGCAAGTTATTCGTTGACCAACGTCTCCGACCCCCAAATCCAGACCTGGCTCACCTCCAACATTGCCGCCAATACGGAAAGCTCGTACATATACCCATCCACACCTACGTGAGGTCTGTACAACAGGGCTAACACAGTCCCCCCTCTTTGATTGATCAATCATCAGAGTCACCTGGACCGGTTATGTGCAAAACAGGGCCGTCACCAACGTACTCACTTTCAACTTTACTGCTAGCGAAGATGCCGCTGCCGCTGCAGACTCGTCGACGGTCACCGGTTCGCTCCCCACCCCCCGTAGCAAGCGTTCTTGAAAAGCTCCGAGAAGTTCTCCGATGTGTGGAGCCTCGATGTTTACCTCCCTCGTGCGCTAAAATCCTCAATCTTCAACTTCTTCAGGTCTGCTTCTCGCCATCTCTCAGACGCTCAGCTCAGTTTGCCAGGGCGGTAATGCGACCAACCAGGTGACCTCAGTCGTTAAGGTGTGCGAGTCGCCGTCGCCCACGCCCTCCGCTACGCGGTCGGCTACTCCATCGCGAACGCCGACGCCCTCCGCGTCGATCAGTGTCACGCCCAGCAGGTCGGTCACGCCGTCGGTGACGCCCTCGATCTCAGTCACGCCCTCCATCTCAGTGAGCCCCACGCCCTCGATCTCAGTTACACCCACGAAATCGGTGACGCCCTCCGCCTCGCGGACCCCTTCGCCTACGATCTCCGTGACGCCCACGATCTCAGTGACGCCCTCGAACACGCCGACCCGGACGCCCACCGGGTCGCCCACCCGGTCGGCCACGCCCACCATCTCGGTGACGCCTACCATCTCGGTGACTCCCGTCGCCCACTCGGTCGGTGACGCCCACAATCTCGGTGACGCCCTCGCGCACGCCGACCCCTTCGCCCACCCGGTCGGCCACACCCTCCATCTCAGTGACGCCGTCAGTGACGCCCACCATCTCGGTCACTCCCTCCATCTCGCGCTCGCCCTCACCCACCCGGTCGGTCACGCCCAGTATCTCCCTAACGCCCTCGGTCACGCCCTCGATTTCGGTCACGCCCTCAGTCACGCCCTCGATCTCAGTGACGCCCACCATCTCGCGCTCGCCCTCGCCCACCAGGTCGGCCACGCCCAGTATCTCCCGAACGCCCTCGGTCACGCCCTCGATCTCGCGCTCGCCCACCGCCTCAGCCACGCCCTCCACCACCCCGTCGCCGTCGTCGACGCCTTCCAACTCGCCGTCGCCCTCCATCAGCCCCATCGTCAAGGACATGTGCCTCCACAGTCTGTCGATGGTCTACAGTAACGACTTTGTGACTAACGGCAACGTCACCCAGTTCCAGACCGCGCTCACCAATCGCTTCAAGACCCTGCTGGCCACCAGCACCAACAAGTGGTTCTCCATCTTCATCCGCAACTACGCCGCGAACAACGAGACCGTGTCGTTCTCCTACGTCATCTACTTCTGGTCCAAGAACGGCGACGCCATCACCGAGAACATCAACTCGATCAGCTTGCGGTCGGTGCGCGACGTCAACGTCGAGGACGAGGGCGCCCAGGCCACGCTCACCATCGACACCAGCTCCACCGAGTGCTCGACCGAGGACACGGGCCTCTCGCCCGGCGCCACGGCCGGTATCGCGATCGGCGCCGTCGCCGGCGGCGTGGCTGGCGCGGGCGCGCTCGCAGGCATTGCCGCGGCCGGCTACGCAGTCTATCGCCACATGAACCGCGCGCCGCCTCCGGAGCAGCTGGCCTCGGGCGACACGGCCTTCGTCGACAACACCTCCAACGACAACAAGCTCTTCACCTCCAACCAGGCCGAGTTCCAGAACGAGCTCTACTCCCTCTAAGCGGCTTCTACATCATCATCATCGACATCATCTACGACGACTACTTTTACGACTTCCACGTTTGGCAACGAGCGTGGAACGATCGCTTTATTTATTTTCCAACTTTTCAAGTCCAGAGGAGAAGGAGGAACCGAGCCGAGGGCTTCAAGCGGTGGCGTTGATGCACACCACCCATCACAATGTCTTGTTTTTGGTCAAGAACCCCAACACTGTAATTCTACCATTTTTGTTTGGGTCTTCTATTCAAAACAACAACACAGCTTGGCTAAGTCTCTGTCTCCTGTTCCTCTTATTCTTCAGGTGTGCAAGTGAGAGGGGTGAGCTCTTAGATGAAAGTGAAGGGGGGGGTGAGTCACGTCCTGTTTTTATTGGTAAATTGCTGAATTGTTTTCGTTGCCCTCACCTGAAATTTCATCACATTCTTTCCGCATTTTGGCGATTCTGTGAGACGCACCTACTGCGCAGTGAGAGGTCGCGGTAGGTGCGCGGGTGAGAGAAGATCAGCTAATTTCACCATCTCTTTCGCCGACTCCTTCCTCTCTCTGCATTCTCCTTCTCTGCCCCTTCTTTCTCTGTATACTCAATCCTTCAAATCAAATCCAATTCATTCAAATCAAACAGAGCCACATCTGCAGAAGGAAGTAGAGCTTAGAGATAATGGCCTCACCAGGAAGTACGAATCGAATGCACGCGCCTCCTGGCCCCACCGCCTCCATGTCAGTCACTTCGTCTTCTTCTTCTGCTTCTTCTTCTTCATCCAGCATCTCTTCTCCATCTCCCCTCTTGCGGCTGGCTTCGCACAACCTGAGCCCGCGACCCACCACACCCGGGCACCTGGGGCGTTCGGCCTCGCCCCCGCTCGAGCACCATGGGGGTCCGGCCACCACCGCGCCTCTGCCGCGCCTGACCGACCTCTACGACCTGCAGCACGTCATCGGCCAGGGCGCCTACGGAGTCGTCTGGTACGTCGCGCGTGTGTGCGGTGTGTGCCGTGTGTGATCGGTGTGCGATGTGCGTGTGCGGCGTTTGACCGAGACGTGGGTCTGGTCCTAGGTTGGCGCTGGATCGGCGTAGCGGGCAGCGGGTGGCGGTGAAGAAGATCGCGGACGTGTTCGGCGACAGCAAGGAGGCCAAGCGAACCCTGCGCGAGGTCCGCCTCATGCGCCACTTCCGCGGATCCTCTCCTCACGTACGTCACCACGGCTGCTCGTGTCGTGTGTTGCGTGTCGTGTCGTGTGTCGTGCGTGTCGTGCGTGTCGTGTGTGTTGACGTTGGGTGGTGGGCGTAGATCTTGGCGATCCACGACTTGGTGCCGGCGATGGCGGAGGGGAAGGAGGAGGGCGAAGAGGAGGCGGTGACGATGCACAACTTTCGCGACCTGTACGTGGTGACCGAATTCATGGACGGCGGCGACCTCTCGCAGCTGACTTGTGGCAACAAGCCGCCGCCGGAGGCCGCCGCCCACTCGGGCTGGCACCGGCCCGACGAGCAGCTCGTCAAGGCCGTCGCGTTTGGCCTCCTCTCCGGCCTTCGCGTCATCCACGCTGCGCGCGTACTCCACAGGGACCTACGACCAAAGAACCTTCTCCTCAGCGGCGACACAGTCAAGGTTCGTGTCGTGTCGTGTCGTGTCGTTGGTCGTGTGTGTTAACAGACTCGCACGGAGCAGATAGCGGATTTTGGGATGGGGAGGGGCAAGGCCAAGAAGCTGGAGACGGCGCAGAACAGAATGAAGCTCAGCCTCATGGAGTTCGTCAGCAACCGCTACTACACCGCGCCCGAGGGCCTCCTGCCCAATAACGAATACAGCTACCCTGGTACCCTCTCCCACCCACCCACCCACCTTTCTTCTTCTTCTGTTGGTTGCGGGTGTCACTGACTCGGGAGAGGGCCATGCGAACCAGTGGACGCGTGGGCTGTCGGTTGTATAGTGACGGAGATGCTCCTGGGCCGCAACGTCTTCCGGGACTCGCGGTGTACGTGTTCGCTCGGCCCGCCTCTGCGCGGCATCAAACACTCACGCTCGTGTGGTATGCGTGTGGTGTGTGTGTCGACGTCGCGTGTGTTGTGTGTGTGTTGTGTGCGTGTGTCGTGTGCAGACCCAGATCAAATGCGAACGGTGATCAGCGTGCTGGGCACTCCAGCCGAAGAGGACCTGGCCAGCATCGCCAGCGGCAGAAATGAAAAGGTGCAGAGCACGGCAGCAATAATTAATATAAAAGAGCCGGCCTCCTCTCTCTCTCTCTCTCTCTCTCTCTCGAAGTGGGCTAACCTAACGAACAACGACTGGGCCTTGCCGCGCGTACACAGTTTCGCGCCTACATTCGCACGCTGCAGGCCCACGAGCCGAACCGGCTGTGGACTCTCCTCCCCAACCTCAGTGCCGAAGGTACCACTCTTCCAGGCCAGCTGTGATGTTAGTACACTTTCTCACGGGACACGCACACGACACGCACACGACACGCACACGGCACGACACATGCAGGTAAAGATTTCCTCCAGCGGCTGTTGATGTTCAACCCGAACAAGCGGGCCACAGCCCAGGAGGCCCTCCGCCACCCGTGGCTGCGCGACGTGGCCGCAGCGCACACGAGCGCGCCGGGTAGTACTGCGGATGACGGGGACGACGAGCCGGGCGACCATGGCGTAGTGGCACCCTTCGAGGGGGGCGATATCGAAGCGGCCGATGACGAGAGCGCCCTGCGACCACTGCTGTGGCGCGAGGCCCTGAGTTACCGTGGGCGCGACTGAACAAAGAGAGCTGTACAGAAAAACACAAATAACTAAAATATTTTCGATTAGGTCGCCTCAATGACTGGCGAAAAAGAGGAATGTGAAGTATTCCTCTGTAATCAGCAGGTCGGCCAGGAGATGCGGCCGAACCAGAGCTCGCCGGTGTGGGCTCCGGTGTCGGCGGGGTCGAGGACACGCTGACCTGGCCGCCCAGATTGTGCCACCCCGTGGTGGCGTTCCACAGGCCGCCCTGGTTGGCCAGCTGGATGGCGTAGCCCGGCTGGGGCGGCGCGCTGGCGGGTGTGGGCGTGAACAGGGCGTCTGCCAGCTGGAGGCCCAACCCAGCTCCTACCAGCTAGGTGCCCTCGGGCACGTCGTAGGCCACGCCGATCGAGTACTGGAGCGTGAAGGGCGACTGCTCGGGCAGCGAAGCGCGCATCGACCGGCAGCTTGACCCACACCGTGCTGAGTGTCGCGTGTCGCCTGTCGTGTCATGTGCGTTGTGCGTGTCGTGCGACAGAAGGTGGTGCGTACGTGGTGGAGGACAGAAGCAGGAGGAAGACGTTCACTTTGTGGAGAGGCGCGGCGAAGCCCTCGTTTTCAATCACCAGGGTCACGTCGAACTTGCGTCCGGGTCGGACTGCGCCGGTGAAGGAGTGGGTGGCAGTGGGCGACAGCAGGAGCCGGTAGCCCAGGCGCTGGGTGATGTTGTTGTAGCAGCCTTCGGTCTTCCACGTGGAGATCACCGTCGGGTTGTACCCGACATTCAGGTACTGTAGTGGAACCCTGTGGTGTTGTGTTGTGTTGGTCGTGTCGTGTCGTGTGTGACGCGTCATGTGGTCTTGTGGTCGGGCGTACGGGCAAGTTCGGTCATGACAGCACCGCCATTGGTCGTGTAGCAGCTGGAGCGCGTCACCTTCTCGCAGGTCTCGCCACCCATGCTCGTGTACTTGGTCTCTGTTTGTTGCCAGGGTGTAGTGTGTGTCGTGTGCACAATTTTTTGCTGCGTGAGAAGGGCTCGATGGTGATTAAGTCCGCATCGAAACTGCAGATATGGCGTGCCATTGCCCAGGTAGGGTACTCGAAAGCCGGATCGATGAAGGTGCCCTGGTCGTTGTACGACGCCAAGACGCAGTCGTTGTGGCCCGGGTTGTTGATCTCGGCGGTGAACTGCAGGTTGAGACCTGACCGCACAGCGGCACGCACACAAACACACCGCGGGCGGTCAGTCGGGCAAGGGGTCAGGGTTGTCAGGGTTGCTGTTGGGCCAAGCGCCGCGACTGGAGCGCACCATAACTGCAGAGGAAGAAGAGGACTGCGCAGAGCAGAAGAGAGCTGGAGAGGTGCGACATGGGGCCGTGGTGGAGTGAAGAAAAAACGAAAGACTGCACTCACCTCGTGGTGTGCGCTGCCGGCTGACAGTTGAGCAACCTAAAAAGTTGCACCCCATGATCCCATTGGAGAAGAGATATCCTTGCTCCAGCCTATCCCAGAGGGGCGAGATAATGTGACCTGATCAAGTCAATATCACAAGGTCTGCAGGACAGGAGGGAGGGTCAAACGTACACAACAATGAATAGTGAACAGTGAACAGTGACTCATGAATGATGAGGAATAAGGAATGTATTGTGTAGAGAGAAAGAGACGAGGAGGTTGATCAACTTTTCGGTGCTTTTCGTTTTGGCGGAGTGGGGAGGTACTTCTCCATCTTCAGCTCGCTGGGCGTGTGGAAGAGTGTGGTGACGTTGTTCAGGAGCCCGTCCAGATTGAACGTAGCACGCCATGGGAGACCACGAAAATCTGCACACGCCACAAATTTTGTTAACACCGCGCACACGACCGCACACGCACGCGCACGCGCACACACAACCGCACAATATACAATATGTACCGAGAGCGTGATAGGTCCGGGGGTCGCCGATTGGCGTGAGCGGTGAGCGCGCTGGGTCGAGGAACAGAGTGCCGGACTGCGGCGGTGCCGGCCTCTTCGACTTGCGCAGCGGACGCGGCACCAGGAGCTTCCTCTTGATCTCTCGTGGCTCCTTCGTCCTGGGGTAGGCCAGCGGTTGCGTGTTCACGACCGACACCGAAGAAGGCGGGTGCAGTCCCGCCAAGCCTGTAGTTGTGTACACACACAATCGTTACCGGTGAGCACCGGCGTGTGTGCGTGTGCGTGTGCGTGTGCGTGTGCGTGTGCGTGTGCGTGTGCGTGTGCGATTTCAGAGTGCGGTGTGTGCGTGCGATGGGGCGTACCGAGGTCTGCAGTGAAGGCGGCCCACCAGGCGTACCACCGATTACGCTTCATCTCCTTGGGCTCCTCCCCGACCAATGCAGCAAGGGCGTGCATGCGGGCGTAATTGAGGCCAGCCAGCTTCGGGTATTGACCGCCTCCCGGGTGGGCTGCCTTCCACTCCGCCACCTGCCGGCGCGTCCCAGCACTGATGAGCAAACTGAATCGTTTTGTGTGCCGTGTCGTGTTCGTGTCGTGTCGTGTCGTTGGTCGTATCGTGGGGCGCAAAGAGTACCCAGGATTGGAAGCGGCGCCAGAGCCGAGGGAAGAACAGGTTGGCACGATAGCCCATGTTCTGGAAGTAGAACGGTTTGGAGCACTCCGAATGCGGCACTTCCGTGACCTGCGACCCCAACACATGTTGCTTGATATGTTATACAACATTAAAGACCAATATATATGTATATATATAGAGAGGGAAATATACACATAGGAAACAGAAAAAGGTACCGACAGCAGGCCGTTGACGTAGGCAGAGTAGGCGGAGGTGTTGGTGGGGGGGTTGGCTATGATGGCGATGTTGGTCTCCAGGACTGCCCCGAACAGCCGCACGTTGAAGCCGTCCAGGCTGCAGTGGTGGGCGCCCACCGCGTAGCGCACCCACCGCCACCACTCGGGCGTCACCTCGTGCGCGTCGTCGATCATGATCGCCACCTCGCTGTCCGACTCGGCGGACCACGCCTCCAGCCGCGCTTCGAGGCCGGCCGGCGCCTCCGGCCAGCGGCTGCTCGCCTCTCGCACCTCGCCCATCGCCCAGTGCTTCTGCAGGAAGCTGAGCGTGCGGTCGTACAGCGACGCGACCAGGGTCTCCCGGTCGCCGATCGCCTTCGCAGGCGGCGTGGGCCGGTGCAGCTCGATGTCGATCCGCTTCTCGCTCCACAGGTGCGGCATCGGCGACGAGTAGTTGGCCGACAGGAGGGACGTGGCCACGATGCGCAGGCGGTTCTTGAGGGAGTTGAACGACACCACGGACGACAGCATCTCGGCGTAGGGGACGGAGGGGAAGACCTTGATGACGACCACCATCTCGTGCAGCCGCGGGGGAGGCACGGCAATGGAGGCGTCGCGGGGCCTGGCGCGCTCGTAGCTGCACACACCCGGCGCCGGGTGCTTGGCGTTCCAGTCCGCACGGGCCTCCTTGTTGTCGGCCAACATCCACAGCTTGCTCTGCAGCAGCCTCTGGTGCTTGTTCTCCTTCCTAGACCACCTGCCGTGGTCAGTCTAAGGCGGTAGTCGCGTTGCGTGTCGTGTCGTGTCGTTGGTCGTGTCGTGTCGTGTCGTGTCGTGTCGTTGGTTGTGTCGTGTCGTGTCGTGTCGTCTTCTGAGCTGAAAGAGGAATGAAACAAGGAGGCACACAACACGAACCTACGACAAAGTTGACATGGATCTGCACGGGCTGGAAGTGCTGGATACGGACCCCCTCGTCCCAGAAGAGCCCACCATTGATGAACAGCTCGTTGTTCAAGTAATGCCCTGTTGTCATGGTCGACATGTCAGTCTCTCTCTGTGTGTCAAGGCAGAGGCTGACGGCGGTGGCGGTGGCGGTGGCGGTGGAGCACGTACGGGTCAGGTTGGTGCTCATCGCGGTGAAGATCGCCTGCTCGGTGGCACTCTCCGTGTAGGGCCGGGTTCTCGTCTGTCGTCGGCGCACACAAACATCAGTGCTTCTGTTCAACTGACTACTGGCGTGCACGACCTGGGGCGTACCCGGAGCGAATGTTCCACCCGGACGGCGTCCCACAGCGTGAGGAGCGCTGGCGTCGGGTTGAGATACATGAAGCCCATGCACGGGAGCGCATAAGCTCCGCGGGCTGTTGTACAGATAGTGTGTCGTGTGTGTCGTGTGTCGTGTGTGTCGTGTGTTGAACGGCGATGTGTAAGAAGGGTCGCTGCAATAAACGAGGGAGCGACGTGTAGAGGTGCGGAGTACCATCGTTCTGCGTGTGAAGGTCCGCGCTGCAGTCCCTGTCGATAAAGTCGAACGGGTTCGCTGTCCACACTTGATCCACATCGAACAGCAGCACGCGGTAACCGAGCTGGAGCAGATGCTTGACGTAAAGGAGGCTGGCCAACCCAACCCATCCAACCACGATGTCAGAGGAAGCAGTCCCGTTGTCGTGCCCAACGCGAGTAGCACGAGTCATACCGGATGTGCATGAGCCCCTGGTAGGCGGTCGTGCCATAGAGGAGGAACTCGTTGTCACCGAACGCGTGGCCAGCAATAAAGACCACCGGTTCCTGCACGTAGAGGAAGGTAAGATGGCCAGCCCACAATCGATCACAGCCACCAACACCCGCATTTTCTTTTTATTCTTATATATTTTTTTTATATATTATGTATATTATGTAAATATATATTAATATATATCAAAAGGGAAGGCGGTGAGCGTACGCCGGCTTCCTGGAGAGAGGCGTAGGTGTTGTGGTCGCTGGCGAGGATCACGTAGTTGAAGAAATTGAACCGCCGCACGGAACAGATCCAGTTGTAGGTGAAGTCCAGCATCCCCTCGCTCACCTGCTCGCACGCAGCGCGCAAAACAAACGAGTGTGGGCATGACAGTTTGGTGGAAGGGTGTGCGTTGTGGTTGGGGTTGCGTCGTACGAGGGAGACGGCGATGGCCTTGTCCGGCCGCACTGCTCGCTGGTCGATGAGCTTCATCATCTCTACCACCTCGTGGCTGTTGGCTGAGCAACACAACGCACGGCCGAGTGCCTACACATCAGGGACCAGTCGCCACCACTGGCCAGCCAACGACCGCAAGGCTATAGGATGGATAGGCGCGCGATTGTGGCCGTGGCGCGTGCTTGGCATGTGGATGTGCCCCACCTATATGTATAGATGTATAGATGGATGGACAGAGGCGGAGGTACGGTCGATGGAGTCGGGGAAGTTGCCGTGCTCGTCGAGCAGGGAGGCGATATGTTGCAAGAAGGGGGAACAGGTCGGCGTCGTCGAGGCGGTGACGTTGGGATTTTTGATGAGAAGAGGAGGAGAAGAGGGGGTAGCTGGGAGAGACGAGGCACGAGGAGAGGGTTTGTCTGGAGGGGCGTTGATGGAGAAAATGGAAGGGAATGGAGCAAAAATCTCAGCTTCAATTACAGTGATGAACAGTTCGGTACCTTGGTATCGCGGTACGGGATCAACTGGAAGAGGTGATTCCGCAATTCGATTGGGGATGAAAAGGGCTGTGTTCTCCGTGGGGGACGTGTTGAATGGGGGTAGAGGCAAGAGATGCAGCGGATCGCGGGAGTAGGACTTCATTTGTGATGAGAACGGAAACAAAAAACACAGCAGCCAGCCCAGGAAGAGCAGCCGGCGCAGCTTCATCGCAGCAAGCCCGTCACGGGTCCTGTGCCGATCTTGTGAACAATAGGGAACTCAGTTCTCCAGCTTGACAGTAGGGAACTCCAGCAGCGAAGCAATCGAAAAGAAAAAGAAAAAGAAAAAGAAAATCAACGTTCGCGTTTTATTTGCACGTTCGCGAATCGAACAGCCACCATTGCCAGAAGGCCAGCCGGTTCAATCTAATTTATTTTGCAAGATGGTGTCGATCGAGAGAGTGCGTATTGAGGATTTGATCGAGCTGCAGAATGCCAATCTCCACTGTCTGCCGGAGAACTACCAGATGAAATACTACCTCTACCACGGCCTCTCGTGGCCCTCGCTCTCGTTCCTCGCGCGTGACTACTCGACCGGCAAGGTCGTCGGTTACGTCCTCGCCAAGATGTACACTCATTCCCGCACTCTTTCCGTCCCCCAATTAATCCCTCGCGGCACTGAGATTGTTTCTTTTTCGCTCGAATTTGGCTACATCTCCATATATTAATCGATTGATTGATTCCATTTTGCGTCGATTGTGGTGTGATGTTTAATTGGCCTGCAGGGAAGAGGATCCGGAAGACGAAGATGAGCAGCACGGACACATCACCTCGCTTGCGGTGCTGAGCTCGCACCGTAAGCTCGGGCTGGCCACCAAGCTGATGAAGGCTGCCGGTACGGCGCCCCCGCTTCTTCCTCTCCTTTGGCTCTCTCTCGTGGCACAGTTTTTGGGTGCTTACCACCCTCGCCCGCCCACCGCCTGCGCAGAGCGCGCCATGCTGGAGAACTATGATGCCGCCTTCGTCTCCCTGCACGTGCGCGTGAGCAACCGCGCCGCCCTCCACCTCTACACCAACACCCTCGGCTTCTCGTGCGTGGCTCCTCTCCGCTGCAGTGTCGCGCGCGCGCGTGTGTGTGTGTTTGCTCACAAGGCTCGGCGCGACACACAGGGTGACGAAGACCGAGGTGGGGTACTATGCCGATAACGAGGATGCCTACGCCATGCAGAAGAGTCTGCGCGAGCCCAAGAGCGCGAAGAAGGAGGAGAAGGCCACCACGGCTGCCGCTGGTAAGCGCGGCGCCACCCGGGCCGCGGGCAAGGGCGGCAAGGGGCACACCGCCGGCGCCGCCGCTGCCACCGCTGCGCTCCAGGTTCGCTTCACCCACACTCACCATTCACCACGCACCACTTTGCTTTGGCTGACCACCAACGCAGGAGGACCAGAAGGTTGAGGAGACGACCACGACGACTGAGGCGACCGATGCGAAGGAGGAGAAGCCTGCCGCTGCAGCTGCCGCCAAGGCCACCCCTGCCGCCGCCGGTGCTGCCGCCGGTGGCGGCGGCGCTGCGTCCAGCAAGAACGCGGCCAAGAAGCGCCGGAGGCAAAAGCAGAAGCAGGCCGGAGGAGAAGAGAAGAAGGCGGAGGGCAGCTGATGACCACAGGTCCTCTTCTTCCGGGGTTCGCCTTTCCAGTAAATGGCCCGAAATTATTTAGTTATATCATGATTGTCTTTGCTCTTTGTTGTCTGCCTCGGGTGTTGTTTTGTAAGACAAGAACAAGAAAGATGGTCCATGCGCGAGCGGCACAAGAGGCGGCTCCCCAACCGGAGCCCGAGCCGGAACAAGGAAGCCTGGCCACCACTTGTACTCCCCTCCGCATTTTATTTATTATTAGTATTATTATTCTTGTACAATATACTATAGTATTATTTATATAGTATTATATAATGAGATTCGAATATAAAAAAAGGTCAATCTTAATATTTTGTCTGTTGATTGTGTCCAAGTCGCCGTATGCCAGGGAGTCCTGTTTGGCGTGTTGGCGCGGGTCGTGCAGTACCGCTCGGCCGTGACCGCGCTGTTGAGCGGCAGCAATGCCCACTACCGGGGTGAGTCCCCCCCCCCTCTGCACTGGCACGCGCTGGCCGGCGTCGTCGTAACGGGCGTCATGTCGTGTGGGCACATCATCACCAGGCCTGGCCGCTGCGTTGATCGGTGACGCGAGGCTGGCCGTGCAGGAGACCAAACAGTTGTGGCGCGAAGACGGCGTGCATGTTTGTCAAGTACGCTCCGGTCCCAAAAACGGTGACGACGACAGCGACGGTGATGGTGACGGTGATGGTGACGTGTCAGGTGGCCGGCCCTGGTGATAGCGGCGGTGGCGCCTTGTGGCGTGTTCGCAGGTGCGCAGCCCATCAAGTTTTCTTCTCTCGCCCCTTTGTGCCGCTGATACGCACTCATGCGCAACGCAACGCAACGCCACGCTTGTCAGTCGCTGCACAGCCTATGGTCGACCAGGTGTTGGGCGTCAGCGAAAAGGACATTGAGGAAAGGACTCTCCGTTTCCACCTCAGGTTGGCACTCTCCCCCACCCCAAGCAACCACCACTAATCCCCCCTTGGCTTGCAGCCAAGGCGACTCACCTCTCTTGTGTGTGTGTGTGTGTGTGCGCGCGCGCGCGCGGGACAACGCCGCCACAGCCAAGCGTTCACCCAAACGCTTGCGCTGGCGCTGATGCACCCATTCAACGCCTTGTTGACCTGCTATGTCGCCCACAACCTTCCGTCCTGGTACTGCCAACTGCTTCCGCGGCCCCGGAAGTCACCGATAAAAAGAAGAGACGTGCGTTCTCATGCGATTGTCCGACAGGAAGGTGGCGCTGGTGGACCGTGTGCTCAAGGGCAAGGACCACTTCTACGCTTCTTTTCCTTCGTCGACCTTGATGGGCCTGGTATCTCTCTCCCCCCCCCCAACATTCTTTTCGCGTTGTCCATCGATCTCACTTGCACGTCGTGTCGCGTGTGTCGTGTCGTGTGCGTCATGTGTGCGCGCCTGACAGCTGCTGTATGGCAGTGATGCTCTGCGCGCCAAAGTGCTGCATTGGCACAAGGCGACGTTCTTCCCCGATTTCATGCCTCGTGGCGACGCCAGCGACGACGAAGCCGACATTGGCAGCGAGGAGGAAGAGGAGGAGGTCTTTGAGGAACCATCAACTGCCCGGCGTGTGGCCTACGTGGCCAGCACCACGCTGGTAGATTTGCCTCTTCCTGACACCACAGAACTGTCACTTTTGAATCACACTCTATTTGTGATGCATACAGGCGTTTGCGACGGTGTGCAGTTTGACCGCCATTTGCACGAACCCGCTCGACGCCGTACGCACCGTCACATTCCTCGGCCAAATACAGGTCCAATCTACTAAAACGATGTCCACACATTCAGGTTTCTCTGCGCATGGCGAGCCTGCCTCATGTCTATGGACCTCTCGGCACTCTAGGGGTACGTACACCTTGGCTGACCTCCACTACACCTGAGAATGGTTGTTTTCCAGAGCTGGGGCACCTCTCCCTCTGACACTCAACGTGTGCTGCCTGTCCTATGCGACCAGACACTCAGCGCAGTTTACAGGCAAGAGGGTGTGTGGGGCTTTTACCACGGCCTGCTGCCCTCCATCATCTCCCACTGTGGTTTAAGCTGTCTGGGCCTCGAGGAAGAAGCCAACACAGGCCACGTCGCCCTGTAGCATGGTGCAACTTGAAAGAGGCGCGAAAAAAGGTGTTTTCCGCTGCCGGGAATCGAACCCGGGGCGCATGGGTGAGAACCATAAATGTTACCGACTACACCACAGCGGATTGGTAGTTGATTGCGGCAAATGTTGCGGCTGACAAAGCGGTATGGGTGTTGTTGGAAAAATGGCTCCTTCCCTCAACATGTTTATGGTGCGCTCTCACTCTCACGCTCTCCCTTCCCTTGCACACTTCCAGGAAGTTACTTAGCAAGGAATGCGGCCGAGCTTTCACTTGCGCTCACCGTGACGAAATTGGATTTCTGCATCAAGCAGGGCAAGTTCACAGGTTGGCCTCACAGCTGCAACGGAGGCTCCTCAACCGAGGGCCAAGCCCACAAACTTGGGGTGTGTGCCGTTCGGTTTCCGCCTGCAGGAAAACATGCACGCGTGTGGCCCCAAGGCGCCTAGATGGTGAAAATCAATGTGTTTTGTTATTGTGGATGACGTCTTGGAACGAGTCCTTCTTATTTGAATGTCACTACGAACAGTGAGGAACGGCACATGGTTGTACCACCTTCGTCATCTCGATCGTTGTCCGCCCAATTGGGAACAGACAAGCGTAGCGCAAACCTTAAGTCAGGATTTCCTCCAATTTCCGCCCATTCCCAGCCCCATTCGGGGTGAGCCACCCAAGCTTAATTAGTTCCATGGCAGCAGGCTACTCTTTTTGAATTCGATTGGCCGGCTGGTTCGAGCCCTGCCACTCACGTGATCCCTCGCGGCCCAGATCGAGATCCAGGTGGCTGGTTTGCCCGGATTTCACACGATTGTGTTTATTTGGACAACTCCGAGAGGCCCCACTGTCCAGTGACGTGGAGTTTCGCGCTCAACCCAGAAAGCCTGGGAAATTCTGGCCTCAGCTGAGCGAGAAGGCCTCTGCGTGCCAGAGGGGCTCAAGCCGGCCCTGCTTGTGGCGCAACTGACGTGCGACGACGGGCCAGCGCGTGCGCCGATCCCTACGGCCGGACCGATAAGTTCGCCCGCTAAAGGTCCATGGCCTCCATTCATTTATTCCACCTTCATTCCTTCAACCCTCCCTCCGCCCCACTCGACGGCCATTCTCTCTCTCCAGCCCAGCGGCGCCATTTAGTGAGTGGTCACACTTTCTGTAAAGGAGGCGCTTAATCCAAAGAAGCCCTACACACACATCTAACTCGTCAAACCCAACAACACGCGAGCACACAGCACAATATCAGAAACACACACACACCACTACATCCACCGGTGTTCTATCGTGAAGTCATCTTTCGAAGACGTTCTTTTCTTCACCTGCTGCTACTTCTTCAGATTCGATCTTCTACACTCGGCTTCCACTCCTGCACCTCACACACGCCCTTCGCCTCTCTTTCTCTCCTCTTCGCTTCGATGAGCGACCTCTCCTCAATTCTACTCCCGCCTCCACCACCTGCTGCCGCCATTGACGCCACCCACTCCGCCCAGCCTCCTGCCACCGCCGAGTGCGCCGAGGTACCCTCTCCTCCCCCACTGGCGCGTGTGCGCTCGCGTGTGCGGCAATTCCAGCCGGATTCGCCGCTGATGGCTGACACGCGTTGACCGTGAGGTCGCCATCACCCCGCTAATCTATTGGACGACCGCTCGCCAATGAGCCCACACTCACCACGCCACCTTTACCATATATGCAGAGTGGCGACAACACCCGCCGGCGGCTGTCGGTCGACTTCTTACTCAACGGCGGCAGCGACAGCTTGGCTGCCTCGGCTTCGGATACCACCACGACCGACGCCCAGTGCTGCGATGACACGACGTCGGTCGCGGGCGGCACGGCCTCTGCGTCGTCGTCAACCAACACGTCGCCCCGGTCGTCGGGGGTCCACGCCACTCGCACCACTCGCTGCACTGACGTCCTGCCGCCACTGTCCTCGCTCCTCTCCAACTCGGAGCCGGCCGTCGCCACCAAGGCCGCGGCCCAGGCCCAGCGGGCGGCCCAGCAGCAGCACGGTCGGCGTCGGTCGTGGTCGACCGGCGGTGTCGTGCGGCCGTCGGCCTTCATCCCGCCGCTCGCGGCCCAGAGCTGCTGGTCGGCGCCAACCCGCCGCCCGAGCGCCGCCCTGTGGTGACGGTGGCCACCAGCGGCCCACTCGCCCGCGGCCCACCGCCGGCGGCGGGGGCTGGCCAGTCGTCGGGCTTCTTTCTGCCCATCAACGCCCTGCCCGTCGTGCTCGACATCGACCGCGACTTCGAGGCCGCAGAGCGCGAACACCGCCAGCGACAACTTCATCAACATCAGCAGCTCCACCAGCAACGCCAGCAGTTCCAGCGCCAGCGGCGCCCGCAGCTGCCGCATCCGCAGCACACGGCGATGACGCTGGCGATGATGCAGAAGCGGAAGCGCGAGCAGCAGCTGAAGGCCGGTGAGCTGGACCAGGACGAGGTCGAGGTGGCCCGCACGCTGGCCGACCCCAACCGATGGGTCTCCTCGGCCCACCAGCGCCCCACCGCAGCCGCCGCCGAGCGGGACCACCACCCGCCCTTCGCCGCCGAGGCCGAGACCGTGATGAGCCCCGCCGAAGACGCCCGGCGGATGCAGCACTACCACCACCAGGCCAAGCGCCGGCGGCACAGCGCGTGCGCCCCGACGCTGGTGGCCGAGGCCCAGCGCCTGTTCTCCTCGCATCTGGCCGCCACACCCATCCTGCCCGCCAGCGAGGCCAAGGAGCTCGCCGCCGCCAAGTACGGCACCGCAGGAGCCACGTCATCGGCCATAGACCCCATGGACGAGACCACCACCACTGCCACGGCCGCCGCTGAGCAGCCGCCAGCTGTCGATGCAGCCATGGCCAGCACCAACGACACCACGACCGCGGCCGGCAATGTGAACGTCAACGACAACAACGCGCCGCCGGCGATAGCGCCGACGTATCGCAAGGCCGAGGCGTTCCAGTTCAGTCCAGACCAGCAGGACCTGCTGCTGCAGGTGCTCGAGCGCACCCAGCAGCGCGAGGCCCAGCGCAGCAGCGAGGCCGCCGACGCCCACAACAGCGAAATGGACATCGCCAGGGAGGGCCGCAGCAGCAGCATCAGCTCGGGCGGCGGCAGCAGCAGCACCGGCGGGTCGTCATCGGGCGACGACGGCGAAGTCAACGAAGACGACGACGAAGCGGCGCGGCTGCAGCGGATGGCCAAGAAGCGGAAGCGGGTCAACGCGCAGCAGCTGGCGGTGCTCGAGGAGTGCTTTGCGGTGGACCCGATGCCCAACACGCTGGCGAAGCTCAAGCTGGCCGAGACGCTGGGCATGTCGCCCAAGCGCGTGCAGATCTGGTTCCAGAACAAGCGGGCGCGGCTGAAGAAGGGCGAACAGAAGAAGCTGCAGGACGCGCTCCAACAGCAGACCAACCACGCCGGCTCGCGGCTGCTGACCTACCACAACCTGCGCATCGACGACAGCGGCCACATCGTGATCAAGGACCCCATCAGCGCCGACGGCGGCGGCGAGTCTGTGACGCCGACGGCCTCGGCAACTTCGCCGGCGCAGAACCAGCAGCAGTTCGTGCCCATCGTGCCCCAGCCAACGACCACCGCCTCCGCCATGTGACCTTCCCTGTATCATTAGTCCAGTCCAACACACTAAACATTTTTGTTAACAAAGTGCACCACCTTAGCCCTTAATCCATCGCAAGCCTACAAAAGCGAGGATGCGGAAGAAGACAATCATGGCCAGCAGAACCAGAGCGCAGCCCCAGATGGTGATGTAGTCGAAGCCCTCCTGCTCGATGACTTGCTCGCCGGAAGTGAGCGGGCAGGAGCCACCGACAAGCTCGTCCGGGTCGCAGTGAAGTTTGAGTCCTGGAGCGAAAGCAAGAAGAAACACAACATCCAAGTCAGTCAACAAACAGTGGACCATGTGAAACCGTGGAGGGTGCTGCTTACCCTCGAGTTCGTTCAGGGCGATGCCGGTGTAGGAGTACTTGACGAAGCTCAAGGCATCAAGCCAGGAGAAGTAGGCCGGCAATCGTGAAGGAGGGAGGTAGCCACCGCCATAGAGACGACAGAGCTGCAATTGCACACAACAGTTTGAGAAGAAGTACAACTCAGTAATCAGTAATCAGAGAAAGTGAGAGCTGAAAGGGGCAATGGAGAAGGTTGACGAACCTCCAGGACGAGGGGCAAAACGGTGATGGAAAGCGTGATGGTGCGACAGAAGGTGGAGATCATCAGGGCCAGAGACGTCGCGGCCAGGGAGCACAGTTCCATGAAGCAAACAAAGATGAAGAACTTGCCTGCATCGGCCTAGATAGAAGATGTGTGCATTGGGTTTATAAATAGATAAAAAAAGTATAAATAAATATATAAATTGTAATTTTACAATTTATATAAATATAATAAATATATAAATATGTAAAAATACAGTTTTTTGCATTATGATCGAAGATGAACGAAGGTGCGTACCTGGAGACCGACCAGGAAGTACACGATGCAGGAAAACAGCAGTGGGAAGGCCAGTTGCACGGCTACCTCCGCCAGCATCTTCGCGACGTAGTAGGCCGAGACATAGTACGCTCCCGATGCTCGCTCTCGCAGCACAATCAGTCGCTCAGAAGGGACTGTGAACAACCGTAAGACAAGTTATTTCACACACACACACACACACACAACACACACAACACACACACAACACACATACGACACACAAACACACACGTACATGAGTTGATCAAGATCAGTGCGCTGAAGACGCCCTGATTGATGCAGACGAAGAACAGGACGGGCAGTCTCTTCTTTTGGCCGGCCTGGTTGGTCCCGATGTCGAGGAACACCGTGCCGATCAAGACAGCGAAGATGATGGTCTGCGCGAGCTGCGCCAGGAGAACCATCCGCTCGCGCATCACATTCTGCATCGATCGCAGGAAAAGATACCACACCTGCGAGAACCAAGAGGGCCTGTACCCAACACATGTGTGTGTGTGTACGTGTGCGTGCGTGCGTGTGTTATGACGAGCAAGGTGGTGCACCACAAGCAGACAAACGGTCAGCTGACGTACCTCGGAGGGACCGTCCCTGAGTCGCCCCTCTTTCTCTTCTTTTCGGGCGGATCGTCCACGTGTGGCGGGGTGTAGAGCAGGCGGATCTTGGCGGCGTTGTCCTCCGCTTCTTGTATCTCGTCGCGTGTGAAGTGCACAGGGCTGATCACGTCCACTGCGCACAGCACACGCACACGCACCACAACCACCGCACGCGCGCACACCACCGCACACGCACACACCACCGCACACGCACGCAGATGTTTGATTCACGGATTAGAACAGCTGCAGAAGCTGACGCAGTGGGTGGCACAATCGACGTACGGATGTGGTCGGCAGGGTTGGTGTGCATTGGGCAAGGGAAGCCGGCCTGGGCGTAGTGGTCCACCACCTGGTCAGCGGGGCCGTGATACACCACCTGACCGCTCTTGAGAATCATCAAGTCGTCGAACAGATTGAAGATCTGCGTAGCCGGCTGCTCCCAACACGACACACACGACACACACGGTCAACTCTTTCAATGACATTCCTTGCATTCCAGGAGCGAGTAGAGTACCTGGTGGATGGTGCAGACGACGGTGCAGTTTTCGGTGTGGGCCAGGTCCCGCAGAATGCGGCAGAGGGTGAGCGCCGTCACGCCGTCGAGGCCGGAGGTGGGCTCGTCCAGGAACAGGAGCCGCGGCTTCATGAGCAGCTCGATGGCCACGCACAGTCGCTTGCGCTCGCCGCCCGAGATGCCCTTCTTCAGCGCGCTGCCCACCTGCGTGTTCTTGCAGTGGTCGAGCCCGACCTTGGCTATGACTTCGTCGACGCGCGCGAGTTTGTCGGCTCGGCTCATCTTGGCCGAGAGGCGCAGGAATGCAGCGTAGCGCAGCGTCTCCTTCACCGTCAGGTCCGGGAACAGCAGATCGTCCTGTCCAACACATTTGTTTTTTAACAATATATATTCTATATAATGGTAACATATAAAAACAAATGTTTACAATTTTTTGTAAAATGTGTGATCGTAGTATGATCACACACCAACGAGCCAACCAGGTTGGGAGGTGCCGCGGTACCTGCATGACATAGCCCGAGACTTTCTTCAAAAACGCCTTGTTGTACTTCTGGCTGTCCACCATTTGGTCGCCCTTGCCTTTGGCTTTGGCCAAACGGAGCGCGAGCATGTTCATCAAGCTCGTCTGTGACATTATATCAACATCATAAAGAAAGAAAAAAAAAAGATGAAAGCGAAGAGGAACAAGCAGTGAGCAAAGGTGTGGCGTGGGCAACGAAGGGGGCAGGTTGGGGTACACCTTGCCCGCACCACTGGGACCCATGATCGCCAGGAAGCGGCCCTTGACGCGACCGCAGGTCTCGTAGAGTAAGACCGTTTTTCCATCAGGCGAGGTGACTTTAAGGTCCTTCCACGTCAGCTCCGCCGCATCGCTGTCAGCAGCGGAGATCTCATCGTCCGCAGCATACTCTCCACCATCTACATAATCTTCACCATCATCCTCCAAATCCATGACCTTGTCCTCCTCAGCAGCAGCAGAGAGCGTGCTGGTGCTGGTGCTGTTTCTTCTTTGCATCGTCAACGACCTCTAGCGCAACAGCTCACACTGCTGTTGTTGCTAAAGCAGACCAACCCGTTGTCATTTTTTTATCTCCGCTGAACCTTCCTTGGCCTGTTCGCTCGCCCAGTCGGGGCTTCGTGTCATCTCGAGCACACGCGCCCACGGGCGGTTAGGAGACTTGGGACAACACCAACACACACACACGACAAAGTAGATCAGGAACAGAGTGTTGTGGTGTTGTGTACAATATTTGTTTGTGTAGGTGGAGCGGGGAGGAAAGGGGAGACGTGGCTCTCTGTTCAGGTGCCCGGCGGGAAGAGACGCCAGAACTTTTCGATTACGGTGCCGTCCTTCTTCGTGAGCACCCCGCCGAACGGACAGTTGAACTTCCACACGCCCTGCGCCGTAGTTGACACAAGCAGCACCGGTTCAGCTTCAAAGGGAGTAGAGAACGAGACAAGAGTATAAGGGGCGGGGGGCACTAGCATCGCACCTGATACATCTCGCCATCGTTCTTGACGAGCTTGCCCCAGCCGTCCCGCATTCCGTTACGCCACTGGCCCGTGTAGACACCACCCATCATTGTGCTGTACGTGTACGTGCCTTCTCCGTGCCTCTTGCCATCCTGTCGACGCGCGCGTCAGCAACTCGAAAAAGATCAACAGACAAATTTGTCCATATATGGTAAATTGAATAACAAATTGTAAATAATAAAAGAAAGTGTACCTTGTATTCGCCCACGTAGACGGACCCGTCGGGCCAGCAGAACGTGCCCTTGCCCGACATCTTACCGTCCTTGTACTCCCCCTCGTATCTGTGGCATGCCAGGAATGTGAGAGCCAAGTCGACGATGTGCGTAAAGAGGAGGGGGGGGGCAAACCTGCGCCCGTCGGGCCAGACGACGCTGCCGAAGCCTTCTCGCTTGCCCTCCTTCCACTGCCCCTCGTACTTGGTCCCGTCGGCCCATATGTAGATCCCCTCCCCGTGTCGCTGGTCCTCCTTCCAGTTGCCCGCATACAGATCGCCTGCGTCGACTCCTCTATCAGCACTGCACTCGCGCGCCCAGAACGCACGCAACGTACACGCACCACCGCACAACCGCACACACAGGCGCACGCATGGTGATGAATGAGAGACACACCTCCGTTCTTGGCGTAGTTGATTGGCCACCGAAAAATGCCAAAGCCCGAGCGCATGTCGTTTTCCCACTCGCCGTCGTAGCGTCGGCCATCTTGCATGAGTCCCGTCCCTGCACGTGCGGTGGTGAGCTAATGGGTGATGATGAGCCAAGAGAGAGGAATGGATTTGTACCGACGCCATGGCGTTTGTTGTCCTTCCACTCGCCCTCGTACATGTCGCCGTGCTCGCCGCCGCACGACCCCTTCCCGTTCTTCATGTCTCCCGCTTTGAACACACGCTGCGCGACCCAAACACCAAGCCAAGAAAATGACAATCAGGCCATCGTGTGCACTGTTGGTGTTGTGTGTGTGTGTGTGTGTGATATGAGCGGAAGAGAAAGGAGACAGGAACCTTCTTGCACTCAAACAGCCACTTGAAGGACTTGTGGCTGGGCTTCTGCATGTAGGTCCCCTCGAGATCCCACGTGCGCTCCACAATGCTCTTCCACAAGTGCGCATCGTTGGACAGCGCCGCGAACGTCGAGCACACCTGAGGCAACCCGTGCGTGTCATTTAAAACAAATATATAAAAGAATTCGTGGAATGAAGAGTGTGGCTCTGGGCTGTGGGGCGTCGACGTACATCGGCGTTGAGCAGGAGATCTTCCCGTCGAGGTAGCCGAAGATGTGCAGGACGAGTTCGATGGGCAACGCACCAAAGTAGCCCAGGTTGGTCTGCACCGGTCGGCCCAAGTGCTGTGTGGCGAGTGTGTCGTGAGCCGGGAGTGGTCGCAATGGGACAAGTACTAGTTACATAAATCGAGCATGGATAGTGGTACCAAGACGAATTCGAGGAACCGTCTTCGGCTGAGAATCTGGTCGTTGAGCTCCGTCACGCTGCGGTCAATGCCGGTCACCAGCTTGCACAAATCGAGATTGTAGTGGAACCGATGATTGCGCAGCGAGACTCCCACCTCTTGCACATTCCTGCGTGTGTCGGGTCGCGTGTCGTGTCGTGTCGTGTCGTGTCGTTGGTCGTGTCGTGTCGTGTCGTGTCGTGTCGTGTCGTGTCGTGTCGTGTCGTGTCGTGTCGTGTCGTAAAGTTAGATCGCCTCTTCGTTTCATCCAAGTTCTGATAAAAAACGAGTACCGTTGGAGGTCTGCAAGTGGCTCGATGAGGTTGTGGAGCGAGACGGCGCTGGCCTTCATCTCGTCCCGCGTCATGCCCTCCCGACGTACGCCGGCACTCGCTGACGTGGCGGTCGCAGTGAGACCAACTGTTGAGGCTGCCGCGCTCGGTGAAGAAGCCGAAGGCGCTGACGACGACGACGAAGAAGACGCGATGCCGCTGGCAGTCGTACTGTCGACCGAGCCGCGCTCGAGCGACATTGCGCTGCCGCTGCCGCCGCAGTGCTCGTCCTCGACAGACTGGGTCGGCTCGGCCTCGCAGTCGTCTTCGGCCGGCCTGTCCTCCGGCTCGAGCCCATTGGCACCCAGCAGGGCCAGGTGGCCGCCGCCGCTAACCTCCAGGTCCAGCAGCGATGCCGACGAGGTGGTGGTGGTGAGCAAAGGTGAGCTGCCACCCTCGATCATCATGGGGAGGACGCCGCTTCCCTCGTCTTTGTCTTCTATGTCCACTTCTACTTCTTTGCCTTCTTTGCTCCTCCGACTCGGCGTGCGTCTCATCTTCTTCGTAGGTCGGTCTCCAGCATCCTCTACACGAGCATTCTTTTCGACGGTCGATTCGCTCTCCATCTCCCAGAAGCCTCTTCAGCCGAGTGCACCCTCTTGTTGTTGAGTGGCCTGGAGGTGGCTGTACTCTCTTCTCTCGTCCTACCGTCCACACCTCCATCTTCCTCATTCGCTTGATGGCTGGTAGGAAGTAGAAGAGGAAGAACAGTCGATACCGACGTCGCCTCGCTTGTTGCTGCTTCGTTTGTGGGCAAGGGCAGAGTCTTGAATCGTTTCTCGAGCAGAACCTCGTAGCTTGGGTAGCGCGGGTAGTGCAACAAATTATACGTAAATTTGGGGGCGCCTGAATTTGTGGATGAATTGGATGAGGAAGCTGCGTCTGATGTGTGCGCTGGTGGGCCGCCCCCTCGCATCGCCGTGTCATCGTCTTCGCGCGAGTTGTGAGCGCCCCCTTGGTCGGGTTCCATTATTATTTGATGGGCCGTATCGCGATTTTTAGATGTGTCACCGTTTGAGTCCTGAACTCGTTCGAAGTGGTGGATGAACGGTATCGATACGGCGACGATTAGCTAATGCAGTTTGTGCAAATTTCTACCCAGGAGGAAACGCGTTCCCCGTTTTTCCCGGCCACAACTACTTTGCATCACAAAGGTGCAACCAATGGTGTCAAACCAGAGCACATACTGCTACAGTCAAGTGCACCCACCCACAGACAAGGGTGGCGGAGCCACTGCGGCTTGAAGAAGCTTGTGGGTGAGCCTGCTGTGAAGAAGAGCACCATCAATGTTGTGATTTTCTGTTGGTTGATTGAACGAACACAGCCAGCAACTTGAGACTGAGCAATCAACAACCAAGTCCGCTGTGGTGTAGTCGGTAACATTTATGGTTCTCACCCATGCGCCCCGGGTTCGATTCCCGGCAGCGGAACATTCCTTTTTTATCCCGACGATAGCTTCAGAAGCCCCAGGGCTACCCCTTCTATTGCTCCAACAATCCAAGGAGCTGGGTTCATGCCACACTACTGGAGGCGTCCCCACGCCTTGTACCTTCAGTTTGCGTAATGCTCCGGATCACATTATGCCCAATCAGGTCCAAGGAGGCCTTGTAATGAGCTGGCATACTATTCGTGGCCAAGCTATTCTACGCCACAAGAGTTTTACACCACCGCACGACTGCAGGGCAAGGGATGGCGACAGCCCCACGGCGTCCCACGGTGTTGGGCCTCAAGCCCCATGCCCCTCATCCCCGCCACGGTATCCCAGCTTCGTTCTTTTTACCTCCCCTCCCGTCTGCCTCTTTTCGTTTCGATGTTCATTTTAATTGATTCAATTAAAAACTGTCAAGATTAATTACATCTTCATGTTGCACGCAAGGTGCCTTGTATTGTTAGGTAGGTCATTTCTGTTGAACTGAATCTTATGTTTTTTGCTTTGCAAATCAATCTGTGCAGATGGGTTGAAGCTGAGTTGGGACGCAAAGCGGTTGAGCGTCCGCACCATGTCCTTCTCCATGGGCAGTCGCAAGATCAAGTGCGTAGCCCATCCTTCACCCTCGACGCGTTCCTCCCCACCTACGCCCAACAACCATTTTTTTCGTTGCCCTGGTGCATGCGCGCGGACACTCGGCCGAGTGCCCTAACCCCGGGGCTCCATGGTGGCTGGTGGGCTCTCGCGCCACGGCTGATCGCGTTGATTCCGTTCTGTGTGTGTGTGTGTGTGTGTGTGTGTGTGTGTGTGTGTGTGTGTGTGTGTGTGTGCGGTGTGCGGTGTGTTGCCAGACGCTCGCACGGGCATTGCTACTTCCTGGAGCGGAAGAATGACACGTTCGCTGGCAAGACCCCGACCGGCGGTCCCTCTGGTGCACCAGAGTCAGGGGTCCAGCCACAGCAGAGCATAGAGAGCGAGTGGCGCTATCTGTGGTTTGTCCTCAACAACAGCGTGCTCTACCACTATGTCACCAGCGAACCGGTACTCACCCATGCACGGCACGCACGGCACGCACGCACCACATGTCTGACTCAGTTTCGGTGTGGGTGCAGCTCAAGCTGCTGGGAGCGATTGATCTGCTATTGTGCAGCGTCAAAGAGGTGCCCGCAGAAGAGGCCCGAGGGGACCCCGACTTTAGACAGGTCATCGCAAGCATTCAGGCCAAGTATCCCGAGAAGCAGGATCTCTACGCATTTCAGGTGATCATGACGCACACGCACCACACACGCGCACACACGAACACGCACCACCGCACATGCACCACCGCACACGCACAAGCAGCACACAGTACACCAGCGATGCTCAATTGCCAATGGCCCCAGGTTGTATCGTGGGAGCGAACGTACTATCTCCTGTGTGAAGACGCAGCTGAAGGTCGGGGCTGGGTTCAGTCCATGCAAGCCGACATCGACGAAGCCCGTCTGCGATCAATCCAACTCGAACAGGTATTTGTAGCAATTGTTTTAAACGTATTATATTTTTTTACTTTAAAAGAGTATTATTAATTATTGGTTTCTATTATAATTTTTATTATTTTCCCGATTATTATTCGTGTGCCACCGGCGATCACTTACGTTGATACGGTCTGCAGGAAGTGGTGAACCGCGAGCAGATGCTGCTGGAGATCGGTTTGTCGCAGCGCACGCTGGCCAGGGAGACGCGCAACCAAGACGAAGAGACGAAGCTCAAACGCGAGATGAAGGAGAAGGTGAAGAAGAAGACGATCATGGAGAAAATGAAAGTAGAGATCGACCACAGGAAGAAGAACGAAAACGAAAACGACGAGGTCGAGGAGAGCGAAGAAAAGAACGAAGGCAAGGCTTCGGTGGTGGGCAGTGGTTCGGGGCTGAGAAAGGGCAGCCGAGGCCACCACCAGCTCACTACGTCGTCCAAGGCCAGCGAGAGCGAAAGCAGCGCCAAGGAAAAGAAAGCGAAGAAAAAGAAGGAGAAGGAGCAAGAAAAGGAGAAGAAACGGAAGGAGAAGGAGAGGGAGAAGGCCACCAAGAAGAGCGCCAGTGCCGTCAAGGACGCCGCCGCCGCCGCCGCCAGTGTCGACAAGAATAGTGCCGGCGGCGGCGATGCGCTGATGGATGAGTTCCTGGCGCTGCTCGAGGAATCGGAGACGAACATTCAAGATATGCGCCAGGACCTCGACAAGATGGAGAAGAAGAGGAAGAAGGGCGGCGACGCCAAAGAGAAGAAGGAGAAGAAGGAGAACAAGAAGGAGAAGAAGAGCAGCCTCAAGCGCCAACGCGCCCAGGAGAAGAAGGAGGCCAAGGAACTACAGCAACTACAACTACAGCAGCAGCAGCTCGTCGAGCAGGCTGGCGACGAAGGGGCAGCAATGACGACGCGATCGAAGCGCAAGAGCCTGTCCCTGATCAAGCGGGCATCGCTCGAGCGCGGCGGCAGCAGCAGCGCGATCAGTACCAGCGGCGGCGGAGGTGTAGGCGGAGGCGCTGCGACTGTGAAGGAGTTGAAGCGAACACGCCACGCCTCGCTCATGCCCGGCCGGGTCCTCTCGCCCGGCGAACTGCGCAACAGCTGGAAGCGGTCCGGCTCCGGGTCGGGCAGCGAAATCGGGCTCGAGGCCGCCGTCACCACTTCCTCCTCCTCCTCCTCGCCAAAGTTGCAGCCTCGCGCCTCCTCAGGTACTACACGCGTGTCGTGTGTTGTGTGTCGTGCGGTGTGTCGTGTCGTGTGTCGTGTATGTCGTGTGTGTTGTGTGTGTCGTGTGTCGAGCGATTGACCGGATCAGACGCAGCTTCGTTTGGCGATGAGGAGGACCAGAACGAAAGCGTGCTCAAGGCCGGCTCGCTGCAGATGCGAAAGGAGAACGCCAAGATTTGGCAACTGGGCAGAAAGGCCTGGAAGGACTTGTGGGTGGTGCTGAAGGACGACGGCTGCCTCTACTACTATTCCTCCCGACAAAAGGTGACGACGACACCCAACCAACCAACCAACCAACCCATGTCTGGAATTCCTGTCTGCGAGCGGCTTCGTGGCGTGCATTCTCTCACTAACAAACGTGGAATGTGAAAAACGTGCGTTTTTTGTGTTAGTTTCTGACGGGCGAGGAGCTGGGCAATGTGAACATGGTGATGTCCGGCATCCGAAGCTACGAGATTCATGGCAGCGACGAACACGCGACGATCAGTGAAGGTACTGATCGCACTGCGACCCACGCACGACAACGACACGACACGCACCACCGCACACGCACACGGTGACACTCTGTGGGATAGGAACGCTGGCGAGCAGTGGCGGCGGCAGCGGCAGCGGCAGCGCGATCGGGGGCAAGTCACTCGGGCGCTCCACGTCGCTGTCGAACTTGAAGGGTGCCCTGCTGGCGGGCCGCGGCAAGGACGACTCGCACAGT